GTATACACACACACACACACACACAGACACACACACACACACACACACACACACACACACACACACACACACACACGCACACACACACACGCACACGCATCCACCAAATCTACTTGCCTTCATTGCAGCACTGCTACTATTGCAGGTCAACTGCACCGCGGTGCATTGGAGTCAGCAAGCCTGCTGTCAGTGCCGCAGCTGTATTACACATATTCCCCTTTCTTTCCAGCCTCTCTGGCTCGACACTCACTTAGAAAAAAATAATAATAACTCGCACCTGCACACACAATTTGAAATACCCGCGCTCAGGTTTACGCTTTCGCACACGCTGCACATCCAAGTGTTACTGTTCATCCCCCGCCTGGAGTTTTGGAACAAAACTGCCCATTGTGCATTTTCCCTCCATCTCCTCTTATCCCCTCAACCCGACGGGACACCGCTGACGCCTGCTCCTCCCGGGTGCAGCAGGAGCCAGGTCTCCATGGCAACCCCGTTACTAAATGTCTTTGGGCTCTTTGTTTTGAGCCATGAGGCTGTCATCTACACATGGTCCCAGCAGAGACACGGCTAATAGCCAACTATTCCAGAGCCGGGGTTTGTGTACGTATCATTCTCTCTGCGGCACACGACAGTGAACGTCCGCCTATTTGCGATTCACCTATTTCGGATTCTGAAAGCTTTATTTATGCCCTTGAGGCCAATCAGGGAGCAAAGGTTTCACAAACGTAGATAACATAAAGAACATTCAATAAATTTAGAATCAAACTATGAATGTATGACCTAATGTGCGTGTGTCCGCAGAGTGTGCCAGTAGAGGTCGGCTGGTTGGGACCTTCCTGAGTGTGTGCGCACTGACAGTTCTGTGCGGGCTGGTAGTGGTGGCAGTGTCCAGGCTGCTTCTGCAGAAAAGAGGCTGGTCGCCTGGAGATGCCAGCATGGATGGAGAATACAACTGCACTGGCAAGGTAAGCTCACCAGTGAGCACAGCAAGGGGTAAAGAGAACCTGACTTTTTTTTTTAATCTCTTTTCAGTTTTTTTAAAAACCATTTTACTGTCAGGAGTGGTCTGCTACGACGACAGGTTTGAGCGAGGCAACAGACTTAGATCTGTGTTTTACATTTCCGCTTGCCTCCCAGCTTTAGTAAACACAGTGTTGGGATACGCAACCTCACGTGATTTACGGAAGCGCTGAGAAAAATGAAGGGGGGAGGGCGTCAAAGCTGTTTTGGACTTACAGCAGTTCACAGTGGGATTTCAACTATGACTCATAAATACATCGAGGGAGACACCTCTATTGCTTCTGTGCGGCTGAAGTGGGGTAAACGTGTACCAAATGTGGTGTTTCTACACATTTCTGTGCACTACTAGAACTAGCAAATACGTTGTAACATGGTGGAAATGTCATGTAGCAATGGGATGTAGTCCCTGAGAAAAATAAATGTATCGAGTAAGGCAGTCGATAAAGAGCTCCACGCTTAACACTGCCAAGTACACGTTCATGTACGTAACGGGCGTATATCCAATCACCCTTTAGGAATTGTCCTACATCCCTACAAGCAACGAGAAGACAGTCACTTACCGAAGAGATCGACCGCCTGACCATTCGATGGAGATGACCGTACACGTAAAGATGCCCCTTGGTGAACCCTGGCAGTAATGCCGGTGGGTGGGTGGGGGTGTGGGCAAGTGGACACATTCCACGGAGTAGAATTGGACTCTGTTCTGCGTTCCTGCAGATATGCAAAGTCTGATGGTAGTAAGCAATTTAAAACCTCTATGAAATTATGGTTATTATTATTATTACTATTTTAAGTTCAAGACTTTGGGACTGAGGTTACCAGTAACAGTATTGTGGAGATGGCCCGGTTAAAAAAAAGAAAAAAAAAAAAAAAAAGAAGTCCTCCAAACTCCCTGTGTAGAAGCACTAAGTCTTCTTCAAAGATGATCAGTCATGACCACTCTAATTTTATGCTTACGTCTGGTGTGAGGGCTTCTCGTCAAAAGGTCGTGCTCCAAATATTAGGGTTCAGATATAGACTGCCCTCTTGTGGCTAACTTAAGGTACGACTTTTTTACTTTACCATTCATGCTGTCTGCACATAGTACCGGTACTTGGGCTTTATTACATAGGGGTTAATTTATGACGGGCACTTGTGACGATTTTCTATTTCGTGTAAATATTTTGGTTCATTGATTCACATTGTTTCGTCGTTTATGTTAACTGATTAACTTCATTGCTTTTTTTTTCCCCCTATCGGAGGAGTTTCTTGTGATTTGAAGTTGTCGATCGGTTTAGACTTGCACTTGTTTTGCATTATACTACTGAGGTGTCTCTTCATTACAGGGCATGAGAGCTGTTTAGCGGGATACAGTAACATTTAAGTTACTTGTACAGTACAAGTAACATTTTTTTTTGTGCTAAACTGGGCATTAAGGGTGCAGAAACAAATCCACTGGAATAACAATAAAAGTGTAACATTTACCAGAGTACATCATCACAGGCATTAACACGTGACCTCAAATGAGAAGTGCACTTGCTGTATGTTGGTCAACTGCCACATCTAACTGAATTGGGCTGATGACTTTATACTTTTGATTCCTTGGTATGTCCAAACTAAGCTCGAAAGGTACTGCGATCCAAAGTGGAAGAGTTTTCTTCCGCTACTCTCCTCATGCACTAGATGACTTTCCATTCCTTTTCCATTTTTGTGATTTTAATTTGAGGCGATGATGTTTACAGCAATAGCTGCTTTTATCTTTTTTTTTTGTCCTGCTAAGCCAGGAACACTACTATTTATTGTAATGTATTTTCTTATTAATTGATAAGCAAGTTGTACTATTCTAAGATGAGTCTACTTGAGCTGCAATGTTGTTTTCGGTCAAAAAAATAATAATAGCAATCAAGCTATCAGCAATAAGTGAATCATCTCATTGAAATAACAGCAGCACTTCTGTGTCGTTTCTGTGTTCATGTGACTTGTGTATCATGTCTTTCAATCACAATAAAAGAGTGCGACATTTTTCCAAACTAATTTATGTGTGGAATTGTGGAAAAAATAGATTTTTTTGCGATCTGAACACTAGATGGCGATGTACACACACACACACACACACACACACACACACACACAAAAAAACAAAAGACGTGGAGATAACGCAAAATCCTCCACTGAAAAAAAAGATCATTTGGATTGAATTAATTCGAACACATACATCGGTTACATGTGATTAAAATGCGGTAAACCTATGTGGCTTTCCTCAAAAATAATCAAACACATTTTAATGACGTGCAACCACAAATCAATCCTTTTTGTGTGTGTGTGTGTGTGTGTGTGTAGTGACCGCTGTCGAAAATATTGTTTCCCACCCTTTAACATTTGAAAAAAATCGGACACAAGAGATGAATGTAAAGGGTTAATTGTGTACTTTCTGCCATCTATTGGCGTAGAATCGATCTGCCTGTCACTATACGTCGGCGGTACTGTATACATTGATGGGGGGGGGGGGATACTTTCTGCGAAGTAAAGAAATAATTTGCGGACCAATTTAGTGAAATTGGATCATTTCTCACGGGAATCGCTCGTCGAAAGCAAGCTACCAAACGACCAAGGCTGTGTTTCAGTAAAGTATGCGGAGGATGTTCAGTTTAATGCGAGTCGTGCAGGATATTGTTGGCGTGTTGTAATACATTACCGGTCATTGTTGCAAATGAGCTGCCGAACGAGAAAAGTGCGTTTGACCGGTTTTATTGACACAGGGAGCTACAAGCTAAATTATTACAACATACTTATTTGACAACTACTCGTGAATTACGAGTGCCATAAAATCAGATAGACTAACTTAATTTGCCCTTAAAAGAAGAATAGTGATGAAGAAATTAAATCCAAAAATGCAAACAATGAAGCAAAGTAAAAACAAGAGGATGTTTATTTATTTTTTAGAAGCCTACAAATAACATGAGGTAAGCGTGTTTAGTCTGACATTCATCATAAAGTGCCATTTCTTTTTTGATGTAAAAAAAAAATGCTATTTATTTCACCTCATTTGCCTGGACAGTCAGGTCCACCTCTGGGGACTGCCTCGGGCTTCCGCCCACGCTGTTGTCCGTGTCACTGTTACCTTTCCCAACCCCGGCTTTTTCCGCTCCGTGTTCGGTCCCCTCGGGGCCGTGCGTCCGAGCGTGTTTGCTCAGGTGGTCGGAGCGCATGAACCTCTTGCGGCACAAGGCGCACTCAAAGCGCTTCTCCCCGGTGTGCGTGCGCAGGTGCCTCTGGAGCTCGTCGGAGCGCGTGAAGCGCTTCCCGCAGAAGAGCCAGTTGCACACAAACGGCCTCTCCCCGGTGTGCCAGCGGAGGTGAGCCTTCAGGTGGGACGTCTTGCCGTACACTTTCCCGCATCCGGGGACGTGGCAGTTGTGCGCGGCCCTGCGCCGCGGGCTCGACGCGCCGTGACCGAGGCTCTCCGCCTCCCGACAGTTGGGGCAGTCGCAAGTGGCTCTGCCCGCGTAGCGACGCGAGGAGGAGCGCGAAGATGCCGGCGGGGGGAGCGCCGGGCTCCCCCCGCCGGAGGAACCGGAGGAGGTGGACTCCGAGTAGGGTGGCCTGAAGCCATTGAACAGGTGCTGCGTGCCGGGGAGGAGATGCTGAACGGCGCAGGGGTTGAGCTCAGAGGAGCCGTAGCCGCTCAGCGATGACGGCATCCCGGCGGGGTTGGGAGTATCCACCCAAGTGGTGCTGACGTCCCACCAAGACGAAGGCCCGCTCCCGACCTCCGCCCCAGGCATGAACCATGACTCGTACGGATGCGTGTGGAGCCGCGGATACATCCCAGCGATACCTTCCACGGAGGCCGGTAACTTGGTGAGAAACATGGATCGCTGCTCGGGAAAACTTGCGTCGGACTGCCCTGAGTTCTGGTAAGCTGAAAACTCGTTGGTGTTGGCCACCGAGAAGGTGCTCGAGGTGTCCGAGAATCCCATCCCGTTACTCTTGGAGGTGAGACAAGTGGCGGCCGGGACGCTCCTTTTCCACGGGTGGAAGCCCTTGGAGAGTCCCGTGGGCATGCAGGAGAGGTCAGGGGTGCAGTAGGAGGGGCTTGACTCCCCAATTCTGCTGCAAGTGGCTGCCAACATGGCCAGCGGGGTGCTGCTCAGCCGGGGGTCCTCCTGTGGGAACACACAGACTTTTCACAACTGCGTGCAACTTGATTCATGTAATGTGATCAATTCAATTTCAATTGTAAGTATGGCTGGTCCCTTGAGATGAGCAGCAATCTCATTTTTTTAACCATAAAACACATCCTACATAAACAGTCATGACAACATTAAACTTTAAGTGATCTAGTTAACGCCCATCAGGCCTTCTCAATAATTAAAAAGTGCGTTATAGAGACAAATGTGAACTTACCCCCAGTAGTGTTGCAGCCATGGTTTGAGCTGTCCAGGTCTGTGTGTGTTTTGTGTGCGTGTGTCACAGTGCGCTTTTGTCTGCTCTTTTGTACTTGATGCTTCCTCGTGCCTTGGAAGCCTGGAGGCCAGTGGACCAATCAGAGGCCAACGCGGGTTGTCTTTTACACTTCGCAGCCGGAGGATGTAAATTTCCATGCAGAAAAAAATTGTGCGCCGCAAAAAGTGAGATTTCGGCCCTTCACAGCGATTGGAGAGTATGGGAGTGACACGATAAAGGCAGGCAACATCCCCGCTGCCGCACACTGATCTGTTACCCCAGAAAAGCACTTGATTGGAAATGGCGTCTTATTGAAATAACAAAATGTTATTGGTTGAAGTTTTATTTTTTGACCGACACCTTAATCCAAGACTCTAAATTGTTGGAGATATGAGAAAATGGATGATTTCATCTCATCACTGCTCTGTATTCACGTACGATCAGAGGAAGGTTACAGTTGGCTAAGAATTTAAAAAAAAAAAAAAAAAAACCTAACAAGCTTGCTCTGCAAGTTACTTGAAATAAAATGAATTTAAATCCCATACTAATGACAACCCTGCTGTGCGTATGCCTGTGTGATGTGGCCTCGCTAAACGTGTCAAACATACAAGTGCGGTTAAAGATGAATGCTTGTAAAGATGTCAAGATCTGGCAGAGGGAGAGGTCGGACCGGTCCATTCCATCCTGTCCCCGGGGCGGTTAAATCCGCCCCGGGGGTGATGGGGGGAGGTAAGTAAGGACACCAACTTCACTCCCTCTGCAATTTCACATCATTCAACAAAACAAATGCAGGATTCCGCCCCCAAAACACCTCCTTCCTGTGCTTTTCCTATTCTTATCAATCATGTGAAACTGTCAATCACAACTTTAACCCCATGAATTGACACATTTAAATTGAATGTTTGGATGCTTACATCTATTTGTGGGACAGCCTAATGAAAGTCAGTGGAGCAAATTGAGTGATTGAGCGGGTACGGTAAATTGGCTTGAAATGACCTCTGGCATTGTGGCATTTGACCATTTTGATATCTTTGCTGTCATGAGGTCGGACAATCGCTTTGTGGAAACTTTGAAACCATCAAAGTAATATATATTTTTTTTAAGTATGATAAAGTCAATTATGTGAATCTGTTTAGTTGTTAGTGTTGGTGCGTCATGTTTGTTTGTTTTTTAATACACTGTCAGTGAACATGACCAAATTAGTGTGCCTTGCCTTTGCCCCCTGGGGCACCGATTACCTCACAGGTGGACTTAACAGTCGGCCATCTTCACTCTAACCTGATCGTCATCCCCATGAGCCACCCAAACAGCTGTCCTCCCTTTACGCGCATTCTTTTCCCACACTGAAAGTGTGTGTGCGCGCCAGCATGAAAAGCCCCATAATGAAACCCTGTCTGAGGCACAACCTGTTCTTTTAAGCCATGATAATGACCACATTATCACGCGCCATCAGACGTCAACAAAAAAAGATGGTCGCGCACTCTCCGCGCACTTTGTGGCCACCGAGACAGAAAACGCAGAGAAGAAAAGAGTGAAATAAAGATCTGGCACATATCGGGGGGAAGACTGATGGCCGGGGTATTTTATTTCTCCTCGGAGTTTTGCTTACCTCCTCTTTTGTTGCCGTCAAAGGGATCCTCTTGCAATCGGAGGGCGGCCATTTTGCTCAGCTGCCCCTGCTGGGACAATTAGAAAGGAAATGACCACTTGAAAAGACAAGCGGAAAAACATGACAAAAAAATATATATTCACTGCAACCAGGGGGTTATGCTATCAATTAGTAGAAGGACAAGATACAAAGCAAAACACTTTTTCAACGTCTGTGCAGTCCTGTCCAGGCTCTGTGTCAGCATTTTCTATGCAACAGAAGCCCACTGACTCTTATACTGAAGTTTTTGCAATTGATTGCAACCGTAACGTGAATGGTCATTAAACATTAGCGGGCTGCCACTGAGCATATTCTACAGCATACTACAGAAAAATATGTTAAATTAGGGGAAAAAAAATGTCAATACATACCTGTATTTCCATGGTCCACTTTAGCATCCTCTGTGTTGCTGTGAGAGAAAAAGAACAGAAAAACTAGTGATGAAATGAAAGCCAACCCGCAGGTGTTTCTAAATGCTATTCAAAAACATCATAGCCTAACCATAATTCCAAATAAATTCCATATGTACCGCAGACTGTTCAACTCCAGTCCTGTAGGTGGAGCTAATAAGCATTGGTTGCCACCTCCAAAACAACTCAAAGCGAAGAAGCAATGTTTGGTAACATCCACCTTTGATTCGGGCTCACAATACTGTAACCCAAAAAAATCCCAGCAGTTCACTACCGTATGAGGTGTGTCAGAAAAGTTACGAGATTGCTCTAAAAGCTATTTCAAACACACACCAAAATAAGCAGCACAATTGAAGAGGAAAGTTTCTCAAGACCAATGACAATTTTAAACATGTTTCTACTCAGGACGGTGGCCAGAGTTTTGCTCAGATGACCTTTGACTGAGAGGAATTTGTCTTTGGAGGCCATCAAAATGGATCCTCTCCAAACAAATGAAGCTGCGTTCTGGTTTTCGAGAAGGGGAAGAGGCATTTTAATACATGTGCCTTGAGCCGCTCGTCGATGGCTTCCTGTCATCAACACGCGGACGTGTCTGTCGTTACTCAGCGTCGAGCTGATGAACAACATTTCGGGTTCGCCACTATGAAAACATTCCCTTTGTACAATATTTGCTTTCTTACTCATTAGCAATTAACTGGAACAACGGCCACAATTACACCTATCTGACAATTATGTGCTATCAAAACTGATTTGACAGGCTAGACAAACAAAAAAAGCCTTGGAAACAGCATAAACAAAGTGGCAAATGATCTGCCAGGGTTTCCCCTCACCTTGGCACGCAAACTGCACGTTGCATCATGAGAGCGGTTCTGCCGAGCTTTGCCAAACGCACTTAGAATTGAAAAAGTAGTTTCATTATACGGGATTTTGATTGATTGATTTTTTTCCGAGACTTGCGCAAGAGTCAGGCATGTCATCTCATCTGTCGACGCAGCACAATGAGGAGATTCCCGCTGAACAATTACGCTGTTCAAGTGCCTACTTCGCATTCATGTATACCCTACATTTACATACCATGCACAGTAATTCACATTCATGAAATGAGGATACAAATGAGGTATTCATGGGCAACAAGTCTCGGTTGAACGTGAACTAAACAAGTGACTTAAAAAAAAGAATGCATTTATGCTTTGGTTACAATCACACACCAGTAATTTTGATTAATTCCTTTGTTCGGTTGTTTTTTTTTATCTCAACAGGCCGCACAGAAAGGCAAAAACGGAAAAGTTTGAGAACGAAGAACATAATCATCCTTCTTATCGTGACTGTAATGAATGGCTACACTTCTTTTGAGAAAATGTTAAGTGTCAGGCCCCTTTTCAAGGGGCCGTGATTCAAAGTGACAAAATAATTAAAGGGGAATGTTGACCTCCCCTGGTAATTTTTTTTTGGGGGGGGGGTCATTGGAAGGAGACTGAAGCAAGGTTGGTCAAGTTAACAAAATAACAAACTAAAATTTTATATATTTGTGTTAATGAAATAAAATAAGAACACAAGAAAGCTTTTAAAAAACAAACTGACTGAAACTTCATTTCATAAAAATAACCATAATTACAGCGAATGTTTATTTGTCTTTGCCAATTAATTTCATACATGAGAGACAGAGAGAGAGAGAGAGAAAACATGGCCGGGCAGCACAGTGGTCAACTGGTGAGCACGTCTGCCTCACAGTGCAGAGGTGCAAGGGGTTCGATTCCGGCTCCAGCCTTCCTGTGTGGAGTTTGCATGTTCTCCCCGTGCCTGCATGAATTATCTCCGGATACTCCGGTTTCCTCCCACATTCCAAAAACATGCATGGCAGGTTAATGGAACACTCTAAATTGTCCCTAGGTGTGAGCATGGATGGTTGTTTGTCTATGTGTGCCCTGCGATTGGCTGGCAACCAGTTCCGGGAGTACCTCGCCTACTGCTCGAATACAGCTGGGACAGGCTGCAGCACGCCCGAGACCCTTGTGCGGATAAGCAGGACATAATGCGACTTGATAAATCAGGATGTATTGTTTTGTATTGTATTGATATTATTTTTTTATTTTGAAAGCCTGTGCCATGTATTTGTCCCTCAAGTAAAGCTGATGATGTTTCAAGCACTGAGGGAGAAATCATTCAGGCTCATATGCACGAACTTGCCGTCTCACTCTGCCTCCTTGATTAAATCCTGCTCTGACCGTGATCTCTGCTCTCCTCGCCAATGAAGCTCTTCATCCCTCACTACTGCGGTGCCCACCATGAGATTAATTTGCTCTTCATTGTTCAGGTTCTGAGTCTTCTCTAGGTTGGTCAAGTGGGTGGGTGTGTGTGTGTATCTCTGTGTGCGCGCGCATGCGCATGTCGACAGTGTCGCTTGATTGATGCGTACAAGCCGAGGAGCATAATCATATACTTCCGGACGTCATTTTTCACTTGTTGTCTTGATGGATGAATTTCATGGAGTTGATCACTGCTACCTCAGCACTTGGGCATGGGGCGTCTGGGTGATCCCATTGGGAGGGGGTGGGGTGAACGGGAGTACTAGTCAGCAGTCTGACGCAATCAAACAGATAACCTGCTGTTAAATTGACCGGAAATGGCCTGCTTGCATTTTCATGCAAATTGCCATGCAACAACCTGTTAATTTATTCCTGAACAAAAAAGCAGTGCACACGATCACATGAATGTGAAACGGTACATGAGGGGTCATCAATCAGAGCAGGGAGAGGTGAACACGCACGCATTATACTGATGTTTCCCGTCAAACATGAAACGTTTCTTTTGCCACCTCAAGCCCCCTCGCGCCTCTGGGCCGTCATTCAGGACATACACAGACAGGCCCCAAACGATGGGATGGCGTCAAGCTCCGCCAGGCCGGCAAGTCGGATCAGGTCCTGCGCTCAGGTACGCACGCTGATGCACAATTTGACACACTTACCTTTGGATCTTTATGGCGTGCTGCACCCTTCACTTTGCGGCACTGGAAAGGTCTTCTCCGACTCATGGACGTCGTCTTCAAAGCCAGATTGTGGGCAGGAGTACACACACACACTTGTAAAAATAATCAGCCCCAGACGCCACATGGCTGCTCACCGTCTGAAAGCGGCACATGGCTCGTCCTTTTGTCCTCCGGGGTCTTTTTCAATTCAGCTGCCTGGAAATGGAACACAATCAAATACCGGTAATTGTATACACTTTGTTAGGCCAAAATGACATTTCACACACAAATTCAGGATGCACAATTACCACAGGAGAAGTTAGTTTGACCTCCCAACTTTTGAATGTACACCCACTGGTTCAGTATTCTGGGCCTTTATTTATTTTGGACAACTTGAAGTAGCTTTAATGGCAAAATACAAAACAGGTGTTTGATCCATGACAAGAACAAGACAATAACATTTCCACGAGCTAAAAGTCAAAGTGGAGAGGATGTTGAATTAGATTCCAAACCACAGTTAGTCAAAAGGGTCACGGGTCCACCCAGAGTTCACTCTCAGTTCAAGTGACCTGCAGTGCTACCTGCAGGCATCTCCGCTCTTGTCTTGATCTACCTGGTTGGGGTCAAGTTACTCTCATGGGTCACTGCTGTATGAGTTGTCACATCATTTTGGTTGGTTCTGTCCTAGTTTGGAAAGTACTGAAGGAAGGTGTACTTGGTGTGTTATGAGCTGACGTGAGCATGCTTCCAGTCAGCTGAAAAAAACATTGTAAATACCTGTTCTTGTCGCAGACGCCAGTAGACGCATTCTGGAAATTCTCAGGCCGTGAATCTTCACTGAAGCAAATGACTCACGTTGAGCTCCGAGGAAAAAAAAAATACCACCGTGGGAGCTTTTCAGTATAATGTGCATATACACCATTGAACTGCTCTCACGTTTAACTAAAACACTTTCAGACGCAAATTAAACATGAACACACGTGGCTGAAATCCTCTCGTACATCATTGTGAAATGCTTAAATTGAACCACCCGCTACAAAATTGTTGTCCTGCTCACACATGACTAAAACACAATCAGTCCCACTACTGAATGCTTTCACACACAGTATTGCAGACCTCTCACATTTTACACAAACACTCTACTATACTGAAATGCTCTCATGTAACATCCTAAAATATGCTTTTCAGTAGTCTGCTTGAGGGAATGCTGAATGAAGTCGCCAAATTGCCCCTCACAGGAACTGACCACACTTAAACCACCACAAAACTCTAATAAAACTCTATGGTGATGATACTAGTGGACACAGTAGAAAATGTTTTCTTCATCTTGCTGCATAACCCTCACGGCTGCAAGATGACACACAGTTTTTTTTTTTCCAGCGTGCAATCTCGTCAATCCACTCATTACAATTGTGCCCTTGCCAACTTTCAAACAAGCAAGTCCAATTCAGTGAGTGAGTGGTGAGTAACACGCACGCACGCCCACACACATCAACATAAGAAGCTTCTGCCAAAATTCACGTCAGTCGTAAATCTCTTTGTCTTTCCAGACTTACCTTTAAGAGGAGACACCGTGACGCCACTGCTTCCAGTGACAAATGGACACCGCCCACCCACACTTCTGCCAAAAAAAAAAGAAAGAACATCATTGCACAAAAGACAACATGGCACGCAAACATTCTTTGACTCACGCACACATTATTAATGTTATGCCCTTCATACAGTAGGATATGTGTTGTGTGATTACAAAGTTACAGAAGTGGAAAAAAAAATCACTCCACTAAAATATCCTGTGAAATTATTCACAGCTCTGATGACAAAATGAAATCATCAAGAAAGGCAGTATTATGAGTAGGAAGGATTTCTTCATTCTATTCTCTAAAATATTAACTCATTTTTGTTTCGTTGTTGGATCCTAATACTTATTCGGAACTAAAAATCACAATACTTCCAATTTACTTACAAAATACTCTTTTACTAAATTTATACTCAAGGATATTTTAAGTGAAAAAAACAAATACCCTGAAAAGTATTTTTAAATACAGTATACTATACTGTTTAGCTTGTGTGTGGCGCCACCTAGTGATGTAATATGTGAATAACACACTCTTCCTGACTGCTTCGACTGAATTTCCAAAGAAAACCTCACATTTTTTTTAATCCGGATTTTTTTTCTAAAAGGAATACAGATTGGCGTAATCCCTACTGATTGTCAAATTGTGTCAAATGTCAAATCTTTGTACAGAAATGCACAAGGAGTACCGAATAATTTCGCATCAGGCGAATCCCCTTTTTTCCCCCCCAGGCCAACCCTCGTTGCTTAGCAACGCCTCGCAATGTGGCCCGGGGGCGGGGGCACTTGGCTGGCTGTTACGCCGCATTTATTAAACGTGTGCTTGTGGGGTGGGGGGAGTCAGTTCTGTGCACACAAAAATCAAATCATGTAGAGTGTTAGTTACAGTGAAAAATAAAAACCCTGCTGAAGTATTTTTATTTAGGATTATACAACCTCTCGGTCAATGTCGTCTTTTTATTCGTCCTTGGACGTTACGAAGTCAAATTGATGTAATCATTTGATTTGATCTGAAGGTCAATGTTGACCATCAAAACAAAACAAAACGATCAACAATGGACAACTTGTTTTCCATCATTAAAAAAGGGCTGGGAAAAAGTCCAGTCTTGGGGAGTCTTAAGAGGCCTAAAATAATAATTCCAAAAATAACACAAGTAATCAGTTTATATTGCGAACAACAAAAACAACAGTTGTGTTACGTATGCTTCGTGTTTTTTGTTTATTTATGGAATCTGTACTTCACTTGACTATTTTCTATCAACTTTTTACTTTTACTCCAGACACAAAAATCTGTACTTTAGAATTAATGAATCAAAATACACGAGTTACTTTCTTCAACCTTCGCTGATGATGACACAAAGAAAAAAACGGCAGAGCGAAAAAGTCAGCCAACTTGATTGAATGCAATTGGGTTTTTTTTCTTATCGATACATTTCAGTCTGTACTTTTTGATTTGAACTTAACTGAAGGAGACAGATCAGTACTTCTCCTTTTAATTAATTTAAAGAGCTCACGAAGAACACAAACATATGAAAGTTCGAGTTAAATTTGGAATATATCTCCTATCATTTTTATGGAAATTAGTTTCAAGGAAAGTGTGGAACTGTGCCAAAAGTAGGAAATTGGCGAATGTGGAAAATAGTTCCCAAGATGTCCTAAATGAGGTGACAATCTCAAAATTGAAATTGTTTGAATCAGCGGAGAAATGTAGAATGATGAAAATCGGTGGACTAAAACTTTCACAAAAGTTTTGTTAAGCGCTTTGTTACAGCTGCAGCTGTTGTGAAAGCGCTACATAAATCAGGCTGTATTGTATTGTATAATTTTTTTGCGCCGATTACAAATCTGCCCTTGTTTTTTTCTGTGCCAGATCAGGTTTTGATAATCACAGTAATACTATAATTATTAAGAATATGAAATTAGGGTTAGGTTCAGCAACAGGTGGATTTTTTTTCCAGAAACGTCACAGTTATAAATTACAACAGATAGTTTAAAAAAAAGCCGTATCGTGCAAGCTTTTATAGTTCAAACTTAAAAATAAAAATTAAAATCTCAAAAACTTGATCACCCCTTCACGAGTGCCCCCGTTCCACACACGCCTCTCTTCCTCATTTAAAGCCGCTAACATAATAGTCACCGCCCTCCCGTCGCTCTCACACTAACTTGACTAGCACCACTCCAGCCGGGAGGCGAGTCAGCTCACGGGCGTCATGGGAAATGTAGTCCCGCTCACCCAATAGCATTGGAGGAGGTGAGGCTTGAGCAAAATACAACTCCCATCTGAACCCTCGCACGCCAAACCCCGTCAACCAATCTGAATAAGTGGGAGGAGCGCGTCCGCCCACAAAAGCCACAGCTATCTGAGCGTATCTCCCCCTTTCCAGCCCCAAAAATGAATGTGTGAACGAATAAAAGCGGAATACGAGTGTAATACAAATAGTGGCTGCTTTTCGGTGGGCTCGCGGACGGAGACGACGTGCCAGATGCAGCGGCGGCAAGCGGGCACGGCACAACAGGGGTGTTGTCCTGATGCTTAAATGGAAGTGGGTGGGCCTCTTCGCTGACACACTGCGAACGCCGTTGTGGAGACCATCGTGATAAGCGCTACTTTGCGCGTTTACGGACGCTCTATTCGCCTCAAGAGACGTGCGACGCGTGTGCGAGGGGCGCAGCTGCCTTGCGGGGGACGGCTGGAGCTTTCTCCGTTATTTTTGTGAACCGGGAAGGGGTGGGGGCCGTTCGGCTGTGTCTCCGCTTGGCACCGCCCTTCCTGGACGGTGGGTGGTTTCGTGAAAACGGGCAGATCCGCCACGGCCCAGAGCCCAACATATAGGCCGTCCTCCGCCTCCGCTCCCGGCCGGCCGGCCTTCTGCCGTGAACTACACCCTCTTCCTCTTGGTATATTCATGCGTTATGAGTGGTAGGTATCCTCCTCCTCCTCCTCCTTGCCGTCTCCTCCCCCCCGGTTCTCCCTCCCTTGTCTGACAGATAGGAAGCCTATGATGTTACTGATGTGGTTACTGGGAATGATCAAATAGCACCGTTGTTACGCTATATTCGCTATGTGCTGCTATTTCACTAAGGTCACCCACCCTGCACATGAATTTGTATCGGCACACCTGATGATATTTTGGCTTTTGCTATTCTAACTTTTGAATCGTGCCCTCTCCTCAGACTCCAAGAAGGAATCATCTGGAACTGACGGCGGGAAAGCATCAAAAAAGGGGAAACATTCTGGATCACAGGTACTCAAAAGGAACTTGATTACTTTTGCTTTGCCCTTAGGCCAAGAAAATGCACGCACTCCCTCTCTAGCTCCAGCCCGCCAGTAAGCCAGACACCTCTGGGGGCGTTCCTCTCGTCAATTCCACTTCCTGCTTGTGTGCAGCCCAGCTGAGAGCCAGCCCCAAAAGCCTCATGAGTAGCTTTGCATGGCTGTCACACTTCAGCCATTGTACTTATAGAAGTGTCACTTTGAATTAGCCTCAGAATGCTTTAATTCTGCTTATGGATTCCAATGGCTGTGGTATGAGACTTTTATTTCCAATTCATATTTTGGAGATGATTTCTGGGAGTCATTTTCAAATGCTCTTATTGTTTGCGTATGTATTGCTGTAGTGTCAAAATCAACCTGCTATGTTGTGCCTGCGACCTACTTCCTGTGAGGAGAGCGAGAGAAGGCGGCATTTTCTTGCAGCGTTCTGAGAAAAAGAGAAAATGTGGTTCTCACACGCCCACTCACTCGCTTCCTGTAATACTGCCCACTTCTACTGACAGCTCGTTTTCTGTCAGCTTTGTGTTTCTCTTTTCAACACCATCCTTTCCCCACTCATGGCTTGCCTTTTCTTTTTCCTTCTTGTGTCAAGCTGTGTATTTGCCTGCAGAATAAGTCAAGCCCATCCCTCCCCGTTGGCTTTTTTCACTTGGAGGTGGTGCTTGTTTGTGTATGCATACGAGTTCCGAGTTGTCCCTTCTTTTTACTCACCCACGTTGTCCTTCATAGGATTCCTCTCAGCCCTCTCCGTTGGCTCTGCTGGCGGCCACCTGCAGTAAGATCGGGGGGCAGGGAGGAGCGGAGGGGACCCAGGTCCAGACAGGACCCCAGCAGATCCAGCTCCAGGCTGGTCAGATTCAACTGCAAGCAGGTCAGCTCCAGGGTCAAATTGTAGTGGACACATCTGGGGGCCAGGCCCTAGTTCCCCAGCAGCTGGAACTGGTCCCGGCTCAGTTCACGGGGAACGGGTGGCAGATCATTACAGCACCGGTTACCATGGCCAAGGAGAACACCAACCAGCCGGTAGCTGCAACAGTGGCCACTACCGTTGCTAACGACAGCTCACCTGGACGCAAGGTCAGGGATGAATTTGTGTTAATATGGTGAACCCCTGCATATTCTTGGTTCAGCATGTGCAAATTCCCTTGCTAGTGGATTCTTTAAAAGAGGTTTGGAACCTATTCTCCGTTATTAGCAAAACAAGGGGGTTGCCAAATATGTGTGGATTCTGAATAGCGGGGGCTCACTTAATTGATAATGCCACCCATGCATTTTTTTCTTGTCCTCACTGCATCTTTCCCATTGTGAAGGTGAAAGCCATAGCTGGGACCAATAGTGTGACCACCAGTCAGCAGCAGCAGTTCCAGATAATCCAGGTTCAGAACCTGCCCAATGCTGGAGGTGGCGTGCAGTACCAGGTCATCCCTCACCTGCAGACTGCAGATGGACAGCAGATCCATATCGGTCCAACTCAGCAGGCTTCCATCGGGGCTCTGCCAGAGCAAGTTCAGCTCATCCAGAGTCCGAGTCCAGGCCAGGCTCAGGCCATTCTCCAGACAGCCAACCAGCAGGCTATCCTGTCAAGTACAGCCAATCAGACAGTCCCCCTGCAAATCCGTCCCGCTCAGTCTTTCCCCCTGCAGCTGCAGACCCTTCAGGGATCTCAGACTCCTGTCATGACCACAGTACCCATCAACCTTGGTGGCATGACTTTGGCTTTGCCTGTGATCAATAATGTTGGAGGAGGCGGGGCCGTGCAGCTCATCCAATCAGCAGATGGCACCTTTTCCGTTGCCAGTGGCAACCAGCTGATGACAACCGCAGCGGTCGCCGGGGCAGCACCAACACCGGTTAACGAAGGTGACGGCGTGTCAGATGGAACACAAGTGGTCTCTGCTGGTATTGAGGCGGCAGCGACTGAAAACCAAGCACAAAGCACTGAGGCCGACTCTCAAAGTCAGAATCAGGCCAATGGGGTCCAAAGCCAAGCGGACGCATCGGGAACCATTCAGCAGGTGATCGTGGGTCAAGTGGGACATCAGTTGGTACAGCAGATCCAGCTGCAGCCCCAAGCACCAAGTCAAAATCAAGGCCAGCAGCAGCAACAGCACATTCAGACTCTTCAACTGGCCCCTGGTCAAACCCTGCAGCCCATTCAGGCCTTCCAGAATCCAGCCCAAGTTCTTATTCGTACACCTACACTGTCCCCTTCCGGGCAGATCGCTTGGCAGACACTACAGCTCCCTGGTGGTGTCTCCCTCCAAGGCAGCCTGGGAGCTGCAATGCCACAGCAGCTTACGCTTGCCCCGGTGGCTGGTGGGACAACAGTGGGGAGTGGAGGGTTGGTCTCCCTGGGCGGAACTCCCCTGACACTAAGTGCAGCTCAGATCAACCCCGGATCTGGCGTACAGACGGTCAGCATTGCTGGGCTCACTGGTGCCGGGGTCCAGGTGCAGGGCGTGCCCCTCACTATTACAGGTTTACAGGGTAAGAATTCAAAATTCATCCAATTTTGGATGCCTGTGCTGAACTTTACGTTCTATCTCCAACTAAGAACCGAACAAACACGTTTTGAATGCTTTTGTGTGCCATTTCTCACCATAAGGTCAACCACAAGGACAGGATGGAGTCAAAGTTCAGTCGTCCCCTGTGACGGTCACGGTAGGGAATGTGGCATCCAGCTCGTCAATGAGTCCAGATCAGTTAGGATCTGTGCAGAGTTCCTCAGACCAGGAGGGACCGCCCAGCAAGAGGCTCCGTCGAGTCGCCTGCTCCTGCCCAAACTGCAGAGACGGAGAAGCAAGGTAGGAAGTATGTCAGTAAACTGCTGTAGGATGGATCATCTGGTGTGCTTTAACTAACACATTTGAATCTGAAATTAAAACTTAAAAGTTTACATTTAGCACTCGTAGTGCGGTGTTTCCCAACCATAATTTACTTGAGACAAATCTCACAGTAGGGTGTGAATTTATTTTGCCCTCAAATAACTCTACAGTCAATGTAGAATGAACCGCTGGCAACAAAAGCGAGTACACCCTAAAGTGAAAATATCCAAATTGTGACAATTGGAGCAAAGTGTAAATTAATGAAAACTCAGATGGTAATTCGCATCTAACGGTCAAAGTAACACTTGATCTCGCAGCTGAAATTATGCAATCTTAACTTCAAAGTGCTGCAGTATAAAGACTCCTGCCCTCTGGCGCAGAAACAGTGGTGACCCCACAAAGAAGAAGCAGCACATCTGCCACATGGAAGGTTGCGGAAAGGTGTACGGCAAGACTTCCCACCTGAGGGCCCACCTGCGCTGGCACACGGGGGAGAGGCCGTTTGTCTGCAATTGGATCTTCTGCGGCAAGAGGTTCACCAGGAGCGACGAGCTGCAGAGACATCGGAGAACGCACACAGGTGCTACAGTCACACACATGCATATTTGATCATAAAGCGGGTGCTCAAAATAAACCATATTTCAAGAGCAAACTTTGGACATGAAAACATTTCACATACTTGTAACGTATCACAGCTAGCCCATATTTGTTCATAATAGTGGTTCCAAAACTGGGATCTGCAAGCCGTAGTTTGGAGATCTGCAACATAACTGGCAAAAAAATAATATTGTGCCTTGTATAGAAACAGTGCATCAACAATACTGACAGGCAAATATTTTTAGCCTCTGCAAATAATTATTATTGCTGTACTGAGAGGCCAAGAGAGGAGCTGACACTCCAATACAGTCAATCCGCATGAACACCAGATTCAACTTGAACATTATAGTCTTCCAACATACTTTTTTTGTTATTTTAAAGGATTAATTTGTTATTGAAACAGGGCAACTTTTTTTTTCTCAAAAATAGACATTTTTTTAATTCGTACGGCATTTATGGTGGTTATGTTTAATGGGCATTACGAAAAATCTTGAGAACGCCTGGTCAATGCTTTTGCTGTAGTTGGGATTCACAATCACGGTTGTTTCAAAATAAATATTAAAAAAAAAACACTCTCAAAAGCTATTTGACCTTTTTAAAGAATGACTTTTAAGATAGTCGTGTTTTTGTCCTCCAACAGGAGAGAAGCGCTTTGAGTGTCCCGAATGCTCCAAGCGCTTCATGCGCAGCGACCATCTCTCCAAGCACATCAAAACTCACCAGAACAAAAAGGGCGGGGCCGCCGTGGCCATCATCACCACCGACAACATGGAGGACGACGCCCCCGAGGGCCTCCAGGCTTCCCCTCAAATCGTCACCGTGGCGACCCTCTCCCGTGACTCCGAGCCTGAAACGCCCACCACCTCCAATCACCTGGAGGAAGAGGAAGAAGAGGAGTTTGAATAGGCGGTTGCTGTTAGTCACAGGGATTGCTGGTGTGGCTGCTTTTCTTTTACAGATGCTTCATGAAAAAGAAAAAGAAAAAAAATCGACATTAGCATCATTCAACACACTGTCAAAAGCCAACAACACAATTATAAAATACAGCTATGAAAGATAAGCTCTATCATGGGATGGGAAGCGTTGTGTTGAGATTAAGAAAAACATTCAATGATTTTTTTTTTTTCTAAATCATGCGAACATCTATCTCTATGCACAAAGTTGTGTACCTGTTTCTTACCTGTCAGACAGGGCTGAGGGTCAATCAAGGTACAGGGACTGTCGCAGAGCCGAGGCAGTCTTGGGACCGTGTGCGTGTGTGCAAGTCAACCTATGATTATGGTTTGTGTGTGTGTGTGTGTGTGTGAGAGTGTGTGTCATGTAGAGGATCTACCTACCGTAATTTGAGTTTTGTCCTCCCATCTGATTCAGGTGTGGATTCCTTTATGAACTGTTACAAAACAAAAAGGAGATTTCCTTCATCAAGAAAGGAACAGAAAAAAAAGCACATATGGAAAGATTTATATATAATGCATTCCTATTGCAGCAGTGGCCATGGCAAAAAAAAAAAAAAGGTTTCTATAAAAGAAAACAATCTAGCTTTCTACAACTATGTTTGTGAGATGAAAGCAATACTTAAATGACAATCTAGTGAAACATGTTTACATTGTCAGGGAAGAGGGTTTGGCGGAAACAAGAGCACACACACGAGAGCGGTTGTTTGGTTCATTCCTGACGTTTTATCACTATTGTGCATTTGAGTTCTAGCAGCTGAGAGGGACAGCGAGGATGCTTTTGGGTTTCTGTGCTATTCTGATTGCCACCCTGACCCCTGCTCTGTGACCTGCTCCCTCCTTAACACAAGCTGAGGGAAGGTCAGGTTGAGCAAAGTGGTCGGGTGGTGGCGAGATGGAGCACAGGCCAGGCTGAAGTGTGGGGGGGTTTGTTCGGGCTGTTTATGTGGTGATGAGATGTTTCTGGTGGTGTTGCTCAGTGTTAGTCCAGTGCGTACAGTCTTATTTACAAAAAAAAAAGTATATTTTATAGAGTTTGCTTTGAAATACAGCCCCTCCCATGAAACACACAGCAGCCCACTGTGTAAAGCTAATTTATTATCCTTGATTTGTAATATTTGCCTTCCTGCTGGACTTATATTTGTTTGTGAGTGTTGATTCTAACGTTGTGTACGGCATGGTTGAGGGTTTTTAAAAATTTTTTTTTGCTCTAGTATGACTTCTTTTCTGTTTAGTTCTTCCTTGCACCATGTGTTTTTCTTTTTGGGGAGAAAATGAAAAAGCAAAAAAAAAAAAAAAGTGTTTCAAACAAAAAAGTTGATGCCAAACCATTTTTGATGTTTTTTTGGGGTAATATTTTGTGTGACAACCAACTTTTTTTTTTGGGGGGGGGGGTATTTTCTAGCAACATCTCATTTGTAAATCTTTTTCTAAACTGTGTTCTTCGCCATGTCATTTGATATTGATTTTTTTTTTTGCCAGGTTAGCCTCAAAGGCTCCGGTTTGTGGAGATTTCTAAAACTGGTTTGTACAAATGTGTTATGTCAGTAAAAAGAATGGAGGAAAAAAAACAAAAATCTAACGTCAAGCAGAAAATATGATTTGCCTGCATAACACGTGATAATAAAGTGATTTTAAACAGCCTTACCTTTCTGATTGCCAACCTATCGGTTTTTGCTTTGCTTGAACTTTCCTAGTGTGTTGCAATCTTCGATCTGAAGCATCCAATTCACATTAGAAATATCTCACGACACACCAACAAAAAAAGCATCCCAAAAAGGATGATTACGGGAATTATGATCTTGTTGCAATTTACCACAGAACCATGGTTCAGTATCTGTCTACTGCATTACAAGTACACACAAAAAATGCAAACAAAAGACAGTCTTTATTAGAACTAGATATCGTAAAATGACAAGAATTCTAATGCGATGTTACCTTGACATACAAGTGACCTGACTCACCGGTTTTTCGAGATACAAGCATTAGGCCGGAAGACTTTATGCTTGGACTTGTGAGCACAAACTTGAAAGACTGCGAACAACTACATAACTTTGCCTTCGGAAGACTGGCTATTGAAATCATTGGTGTCGCAATGTTAACGACACTCAAGCAACAGATGTCTGAACACAGTGCAGCAAAACATGTAGACTGACAACAACACTTTCAACATATATTCCTTATCTGCTCTGAAAACCAACTAATACGAGCAACTAACCGAGTACTTTTGATTGTTTCTTGTCTATTTTGTTGTCAGTGTTAAGTCATTGTACTGCCCAGTGGTGGCCAGAATACACAGACCAGAAGCCAGACGCTGATTTAATCAGGATGCACACTTTTTTTCTTTACATTATTTTGAATTATTATTGATGTTGTTATAAAGTAGTTTTGTAAAGTGCTATTTTTTTCTGTTTTTTAGGTGTTTTATGGGAAATGATGATTTGAGTACCGGTAGTTTGGTCATGCAAGAAATTAAAGTTGAGGCACAACTGTACACAGTGGTAAAAAAAAAAAAAAAAAAGTTGTGTGTTTTGTAAAAACACTTCAAGGAAAACAAACAAAAAAAATGCAAGGTAAAAAAATCAAAATAAAAGTACAGTACTAATGCTATTAGCATTTGTGGCACAGTAGGATAACAACGGCACTCTACGGTAGTTTGATAAAAGCGCCTGCCTAAAAAAAAAATAAACATTTATCAAAAAGTTCTACAGTACTGTGCAGTGTATCATCTGTATGAGGAGGAGTCTCCGTGGACTTTACTGGAGCTCCTTCTGAATTCTGTGAGGGAGACAAAACAAGGCAAAACTTCAAACTTACTTGGCATGCGAACTTCTTTCGTGTTAAATGCAGTGCAACACAAATTGCATCAGCAAACGTCACGCTGAGTGCACGGCCGCAAAAGTGCCAATGTCAACACGATGCTGTGTGCGTACCTCTCCAGATACTCGTGGACGTTGTCGTGGCCATTGTAGCGGGCCAGCCCGACCAAAATGCCAGTCGCGCAGCGCCCCTCTTTCCTCCGACACAGGCTGCAGTTACACATTCCTCTGCAGATCGGACAGGACCATGTCTGCAGAAAAGACAAGATCTCAGTCGTCGACTGCCTTCTATTTGAAGAGAAGCCTTGATAATATGATGCAGAGTAGTCTTCTTTCAGTTCGGTTACTGCACATGAAAATAGCTCCCCAATTCATCTTTTTTTTTGCCTTCTCTGAACATCACAATTAAAATGCAACATGACATTTTCTGAGAAAGGTGTCTCCGGTTATTTCCTCTGTTTTAAAGTTAAATACTAAATGAGTACACAAAGCATTCTAAAATGGTTAAATGATCCGCCTGCAGTTCAATTTTTTTTTTTTTGTCGTGTCAAGAGGCAAAAACAGATGTTATTTTATTCATTCAATATTTTTTTTTTTTATAAATGTGCTGATTAACTAGTTATTGGAATTTTCTCCTGCCAAATCGCAACTGTCATCAGCCTCCCCAAAAACCCCTCTTGATCGATCCCAAGACTGAAGACAAATTATGAACTGTTAAATACCAGAGCTTCATTCTCTTGCCAAAGCACAAATTTTACATGGGGGGGAAAAAAAAAATCTCAACAAACAAAAAATGCCACAAAAAGTACTGCACATATGGTGACTGAAATAATGATCTCATCTCAGTTCGTGGGAAATCTTGACCTGTTTAGTTCAGACCAACATTCTGTTGTGTGGATGGCAACAGGTGGGTACGTGGGTTCATCGTACCTTCTACTATCAAGTGAATTGTGGGGACAGTACGTCACCGGCATTGACAGACAAATACAGATGCAATACATGATTTGTCGACAAACAATAAAATTGGACCATTTCTCTCATTTTGTGAGCCAAAGAGTTGCTTCTGACCGGGTCCAGCAAAACGGTGCGCACATCCTCGCCATAGCGGTTCTTGAGGCACGGCCCACAAAACTGGCCTTTGCCCGCAGAACAGAACCCACTGCGGCACACGGTCTTTGTGTCGAGGGTTTTCTGTCGGCACTGGTGGCATGAGCTTCCCTGGAGGGGAGGGGGGGGGGGCAACACACACATTACACAAACATAAACATACAGTTCACAACAGAGGTGGTGGGAAAAAAAAACTAAGTCTCATGAAAGTGTTTCTACTAGGTTACTTCACCCCGCTGATGCACGGTGAACAAACGACACGAGTTGAGCAGCACCTGCAGAGAAGCCATCAAAGTGTTGATGACTCACATTGTCCTTGTCCCAGATCTTGTCTTTGCTGCGGGACGCAATGTTCTCCAAGTCATCTTCGGTGATGTCATCCACCGACTTGAACTCGTACTGACTGCGTCGATGGCTCCTCCGCTTCTTTCCTGGCCTGTTGCCAGCACTTTCCTCATCCACCTGTCAATCGTGAGACCAGGTCAAACATTGAGAGGCTTTACACAAGGTTAAAACTGCTGAATGCTGTTTGTATGTGGGGTTTTTTCTCTCTATGTTTGAGCAGAAGTTTTTGGAAAGTTTAATTGCTGTTACATCTATGCTAAGTTACGTTAGCCTGTCTATGACCTGTTCACATTAAGAGATCAGATTCATGCAATTCTAATGTTTGACCATGGAAGTGCGCAATGTTTAATTTTTTGGGTTTTATGTGACAGGTTTATGGTACAGTTCAACTGGGGTGACAAACAGCTTGAAGCAAGCACACATGACCTCTTTTGACACCTGTGCAATTGAGACTTTCATTTCCTCCAAGTGATTGCGTACGACAGCCTCTGCTTGACAGTGAAAGTGAGAACAGGTTCGAAGGAATACTTTAAAAAGTGTCATTTAATAGGTTTAAATATTTAAAGCGTGTAGGACGGTTAAGAAACAAAAAAATACTGGTCTCTACAATTAAGATTTTTACCTATTGTGGCTGGGTCCAGAATGAGTGGGGTTCACCGTATTAGATGAGAATATTTATTCATCAGTTTAACCAAAATAAAAACCGTCATTTGAATGATATAATGTAGTTGAAATTTAAAGACTGACGCAGGATGGAACAAGAAGGTGGACACTTGTTTTCAAATTGGACCCCCCCGCTTTGTGGAGTTGATGCGATGTTAGGCATTTGTACCTCTACGAGTCTCCTGAGGTTTATCGCCTTTGGGCCACTGCGGGGCAACGGCTCACACACTTGGTCCACGGCAAAGTTCTCAGGAGGGCGAGCTTTACGAGACGGGTTCCTCCTTTCAGACCCGCTGTGTTGTTCCAATTTCCGTTTGCGTGGCGTCGCTTTCATCGGAGAGCGTTTCTTTTTCTGCGGTGGTGTGAACAAAACGAGGGCTCGTATAAGAAAGCAGAGGCGTGGCGCGGTTTGTTGAAGCATCGCAAATAGAAACGGAGCGTTTGGCTGAGCGGCAGTGCTCACTTGAGGGGTGTCGGGCAAAGTTAGGTCTGCCATAGTGGTGAGATCAGCAAACAGCTTGGCCAGCTGGAAGACAACAGTCAAGAAGAAGAATGAAGGGCGGTCAACGTTTTCGTATATTATGATGGTCCATATTGTTTGTCATTGTGTTGACGCTCCCGATTATTATAACCACCATGGCTTTGTTCTCCTGGATGTTTTTGTCCCGCTTGCTTAGGCTTCGGCACACAGCCTCATCTTCTCCCGTCGCCTTCTCTGTCTTCGGTTGTCTTAGTTTATCCTCCTGCTTCTTCATCCTCTCCCTCACCCTCTGTGCCACGGTTTCTTTAACCGGCTTTTCGATGCTTTTTGCTTGTGGCTCCTTTTTGGGGGTGGGTGACTGTTTGACTGGAAATCTGAGAAGAGAAATTGATATGCGACCAACGTGAATGGCAAGAAGATTATGAGGCTCAAATCCTTGACAGAGTTTTTAAGAAAGAGCGAAGAAGTGCATTACATATGCTGTATGCATACCACATTTGCATTGAGATCAGATATGTCAACTACAGTACATGCTCAACACTGCGATTATTATAAGTACACATACCGGAGAGCTACTAGGAGACTTCCTCTCCTAGGCGCTGTCGTCTCCTCACCATCAGAGTAGAAGCCTGTGTCCGTATCACTGCCATCCTCTGGGTCCAACATCTGCCAAGTGTCCAAATGTGGACACACCAAAAACATGAAAGGAAACTCCTGATATTGTACAATTTGGATTGGACCAAAAATAATCAGGAAAAAAATTGTCTTTCGAAAAAAAAGAGATGAACAGAAAACTCAAACAAGTTATGAGGGTTTTTTTTTCATCAGATATCATCATGTGAATGATTTGCTTACCTTCCGGAAGTTTGATTCGATTTGGCAAGCGGAGGAGGAGAATTACCCTGAAGACTCAACTCTAACCAGTAAACTTCAACCATTACGTCAGGGTCGCTCGCATCCAGGTGACACTCCATTGTAACAACCTATCAGTGTTAAATTCTACACTACACAGGCTATTTTATTACCGAATGGTGTTAATGTAACTTCTTTTAAGACTGTCCTGTTTGCAGTGTACCTTAGCAGAACTCAGTTCAGCCAACATCAAAAACTTAACTTGCTGGTGTTTTTGTTTTTTGATTTGGCTTTGTGCATCAAAAATTTAAACATTTGCGCCCGCCAGATTTGAGTTTTGGCCGAATCTTGGACGTTACGAGTCATACCTTCGTCTTGTATTGCATGTTAACATGTCTTCTGTCCACTCTTGCATCGTCCTCATCGAAGCCTTCAAACTCCTCCTCGCTGTCCGACTGGCTGAACAGACGAGCCAGCTCGGCAGTAATAAACTTGGACTTGAAACGCAGCGCCTTCGGGAAGACAATACAACGTGCCGTGATCAATGAAAGCGAATGCAAAGTAAGCTTCTCACCCATTTCTCAGTAAACACAAAGCTGGAGCTTTACTTGAATGGTTTCAGTGAGTACAGTCCACACGTTTTTTGCTACATGATATGAAGAAGTTGCTAGAAATGTTTGTGTTCAGATTGACAATGTTCCTGTATGGGAGCATAGCACTGAAAAATAGTGATGCAACTTGAGGTTTTTGTCACGAATCTTTTGACGACGTATTGATTTGTGTTGGGCATAGGACACCACAACAACTATTGCTATTCAATGATATTCTTTAATAGTCTCGTCAAGCAACTGCTCAACGGTTAACAGCAGACAATTTGTTTTTGTTTTTTGACCGAAGAATGGACAAGACGTAGTTAATTCGACTCACAAAGACTTGTTTCTGACGGGAAAGAGTGAGCAACACCAACAACATTTCTTAAAATGAATTTACCTTTGATTTGAGGGCCATTTCGTCGTCGTTTAACTGAAAATCTCCAATAAAACTAAACAAAATGCAATTTCTTCGGAGGACAGCGGGGAGGCGAAATGGATTTAAACATTAACATAGGTAAATACATTGACCGTAAACCAAAGGTCGTTATCGCCAGTTGCAACTTTACATTTTATGCATGAGTAATCCTTCTTTTGTCGCTATCCACATGTAATAATTGCTCTGAAACATTAATATTTATAATGACACGGATTATATGAATTTCCTGGGAATATTTTAATGGATTAAAAGAAACCTTCCGTCTTCAACACCCCTTTTTTCGCATCAAATGGTGCAGTCTGATGTTTCGCGCGAAAGTTGGGTGCGGGCGTGGCCTACTGCCGGAAGAACTGGGAGGCTTTAATTTTTGGGGGGGAAAGACTTGCACACAACAAATTTGGAGCTCTGAAATTTCTTACGATTTGGTCCCCATTACACTGTCAAAAGCCCCCAAAATCAATATTGTACTGGCATATTTCTTCATTTCACGCCGCAGACTACTGTATTAAAGCAAAGTCATGAGCAGTCAGTGGCGGTGCTTGCTTGAATAGCACTGTGTGCAAAACCCCCCTTGCAACTGTTGCTCACCATATTATTTAGGATCACGTCTTATGTGATTATTATGTATTATTCAATATTTTTCACATTAGTATACGAGTAATGTATGTTCATTATTTCTATATACTCTGTTCTTTTAAACAGGTTTCAGAATGAAAAGTTCTACATGGATTGCTTTGACGTGGCATCCATAAACTTGACTGAATGAAAGTGGTGCTGTCCCCTCAGTATCTAGTGAAGCACTTCCTTTTTAATTTTTTAAATTTTTTTTATATGAGCTTAACTGGTTTCATCACTTCTCACTCAAGACAAAATCATACATGGGAGAACTATAGGGGTAGTAATTCCATTTGTCCCCAACCATGGCTAGTGACAACATAACGCTCGCCACCTTTTGCATTGTCTGGCTGGCCGTTATTCAACAAAGCGTATCCTCTTTGTGGACATCACCGATTCCGATCCATGTGGATTTCTGAGCAGGGTCAAAATTCGGAATGAGGACTTTGACAAAGCTATCTTCCTCCAGACTGTGAATGGACCCCACGAGGGCCTTTGTCTGACATGCCGGTGAGCTCTGCGTCCGCCCAGGTCATGAACTTGTACTGGTACTTGAACATGTACTTGGAGCAGTGTCCATTGAAGCTCAACAAGAAGAGAGAACAGACTCCACGTTGCAGCTTCACCCTGGGCTACCTGAAGGAAGCGTGGCACCATGTGCCCAACATAAAGAGGAAGAGGAGCAGGCAGTTCGTCTTCATGGCAGGAGGAGGGTTTCAATTTGATCAAGGACAGGCAGAAACCGTTGTAAGGCAATTTCACCTGACTCTTAGGCACTTTGTTGGCATGCTGTCATTAGTCAAAGGCTCCACCCACCAGAGCTGCACAAATTCACACGAGACCTGCTGATTTCACATAAAACCTATAATTTATTCATTTCAGTTCAAATGTCCACATAGTAAAACATCTCTATAGAAAAGACATGTGGCTTCAGAACATCGAGTGGACATGAATGTATTGCTTTGTGGTTCACTTTTTTTTTCTTCGCCCTACCATTTGAAAACCAATAAATAAGAACAGTAAGTACATTGGCGTCAATTTACACATATTACAAAGCCTTCGACATGCGCCTCCCTTGCATTGCGTTATTTTTTTTTTTTTTTGTTCTTGTATCACGCAAATAGGTGTCAAACAATGGTTCTTTAAGGAAAACTTTCCAGTCATGATTGTAACAACCAAATAAACGGTCACGTAGAAGAAGCTTTCAGGAGAGGACCATCGTCTCTACAATAGCTCCACTGGCGCCCTCAAGTGGCGACAATAATGTTACAGCATTGTCACTCATGCCTCAGAATAAAATGGGGATAAATCTATTGCTTTCCATAGCCTTAATATTCATCTTAAGGTCCATGTACTAGTGCGCTCTTTGGCCCCTATAGGAGAGCAACTGTGACATATTTGTAGGACATGTTAAAAATGAGGCAAAACCTCTACTACTTTAAAGAGTAGCGTGCAAATGTCAACTATTGCACAGATTTGGCTCAGTGGTAACGTGCGACTAGGATGCCAAAGTTGTCATATTCGGAGGTGAAGAGTGCACGAGTACGTGGCCCTTCTGAACTGAACCTTCGAGCACTACATTTGGCCACATTAGCAATTCTTAAATAAACTGCATATTATAACAAATAACTAATAGCACAATGGAACTGCATTTTAACACATCAAATGGAGTCTGTGTGTCTTTGTAAAAACTTACAGCCATGACTACCTCGCAAACTTATTTCGAGTTTTACAGTCTTGAGAAATTTAACATGGGTTTGGTTAATTCTCAAGAGAGCCACATCATTCCTTATAAGAGGGTGTGCACACTTGTGCAACCGCCATTACCTCAGTCGTCAATGATAAAGAACCCTTAACATTTGATGAGGTGTGTGTAGACTTTATCAACTGTAATAGCAGTCTCAAAAATTCAGTCTTTACAAAGATTAACTTGTTCAAGTTTGATCGACAGTCAGAGAAGTTTTAATTCAAGCACGGGCGTAGAGCTGCATTCATGTTTCAAATTGTAGTTTGGTCCCACAAAAATGAACACCGATGTATTAAATGTGCAACCAACGTCTTTTGACACCATTAGTTAGTGCCAATCATTATCGTCAGTAGAAGCAGTAAATTTGGGGATACAGTTCTTGTACTGGATCGCATTTGATTGTCAATGTGTTCCTAATCAGGCGTCCTCTTTTTAATGTTACACTGATTTGAAGAACAAGACAGGCCCCCTGTGACATTATAACAGTGTAAAAAAAAAAAAAAAAAAAATCCTGTCGATCAATCTGAACCGAGCACACCGATTTGACACGTGATAATCTGTACCTCAGAGATAATACATAAACTATTTGGTAAGGTTGTTTCCATAGTGACACCCCCGACAGAGTGGGAGGCCTTTAAATCAGTTTTTGGAACGGTGAGACAAATCAAACTTGCTTCAGAGGTGTTCTGATCAAGGGAACACAATGATCGAATTCAGAGAAAAATAGCAGGGGACTTCTCGTGACATTTTACAGAACTGATGCGTAGGTCCATACGTGGTAGAAATACCCGTAATGCCATCTGGTCTATCTATTCACACACATAACCTAGTTCAGTGAGAGAAGTGCATGACACATGCGTGTGGGGGGGAAAACAAGTAAAAGCCAGAATCTCCCAATCAATCGCACACTCAGGGGAGAACTTGTGGCTTAAAAGAGTCAGTCAAGTGCGCGTCGACGTCTTTCTGTACACTGTCAAAGTGGCACGCGCCGCGTTAACAGATTAACACTTTTTCAGTGGCGTTATTGTTCATCCGCGGAGCATGTTCGCTAAATGCTTCAACACTGACTTGTCTGTTGAGGTACATAATCAACTGCACGAGGAACGACAAAAATAAACATCGACGTGATACATCTAGCAGCTTTGACAAGATCCTGGACATCTGTGCAATCTTGTGTTAAGATATCGTTAAATATGAAGGCGACATCTTGATGTAGTAAATTAAGGTTGCAAACACGAGAAACTCTTGAATAGGCTTTTTTTTTTTTTTTTTTGGCTACTGAAATGACGAGGCCATCAAGTCGCCGTTGACCAACAGTACACTGAGGCAACAGCACAAAACAAACGCAACATTCCACCTGCGGGACAGGCTCATAAATAACCAAAAGCGCATCACAAAAAAAAAGTAATAATAATAAAGTCATATTAAGTCCAATATATACTGTACAACATAAATTACATCCTTCTCTACTCAAGTCAGAGTTGAGCTCTGAGTCTTTGTGATGGTTTAGTCCAAACATTTGGCACCTCAACTGGTTGTTCATTGCGGTGTGTGCGGGAGTGTGTGTGACCTGTGCTGTACAGCGTCCTTAACGTGTCGCACACATTTCAGTGCTTGGGTTACCGCATCGGTGCCGTGCTACTTCTCGGTGTCCGCCAAGAGGAGGTGCGTGCGCACTAAGCCCGCGGCTCGAGTTTGTGGGACAGCTCGAAGAGCGTCTGCTGATTGTCGATGATGTGTAGGTAGTGAACGCTTGCCCGCAACTCCGCGCTGTCGACGCCGATCACCTCATTGCCTGCCACGCAGATAAGAAGACAAACCATTAAAGATGCTTTGGCACTAATTTGGAGCCACCGCGGGGGTTTCAAGCTGGTAAAACACAATTAGAGTACATGAGTCGTTAAAAGAAGCAAATTTCACCGGCTTTACAATGGCCCAGTTCGATTAATGCTAAAATGAATGTAAAATGCTGTCGGCATGCTGACGGTTAGCGGCAGTAGATGCAGTTTTACCACATTTTAAGCAATGGATACTTGAGCACAAATGCCTCAACAACACAGACAGATAATACAGTGCAACAATACCCACAGGCATATATTCTTTATCCTCCATGGAAAACGACTACCATGACAGCAAATTGCCAGGTAGGAGTACATTAGAGGAAAAAAATGTAGTCTTCATTCATGTCTGCATGACTACATTGTACAAGACTGCCTCCCAGTGGTCAAGGCAGGCACATCAGAAGGAGGAGCACACTGAATTGGATGCAGCATTACATTTTGAAGCACAAAGTGTTAAATGTTTTCCTCTATAATGATGTTATCACTCTATTTTTATTGAGTACAACCTGACAGGCTGGAATAAAATGATTTGAAACTCTGATATCAATTTGGGGACTGTGCCGCAGTGCGCAAAGCCAGACTCAGAAAAAAAACATGCCTGGATGAATTTGGTCTGAAAGAAACAGGTGAGTCACTGGAATAATTAACAAAAAAAAAAAAAACATTGATTGAACACATTAAAATCTTGTGAAAAGTGCAAAAGCGAAGGACCGACGCCATATTTTGTCTCCTCACCTGTTTGGTCACTTTGGCAGTGTCGAATCATTCGAACCGTGTCTGCGATCATATGCTGGTGGTGTTAGACAAAGAAAAAAAGAGGAAGTTCAACAATTGTGTATCCTGAAGCTTAGTATATTTTATTAGTACCCTCCGCCCAAAAAAAAAAATCAAAACAGGAGTGCTCAACATTGGTTAATGGGTTAAAGCATCATCTACTGTTCTCAAAACTATTACCTGATAGGTACACATTACAACATCTGAAATGAAAATAGTATTTTTATTTTTTTTTTGTACACTAGTAGCACCCCCAGGGCTTTATCAGCGTATCTTGGGAAGATGGGAGATAACTTGGTCAATTTATGTTGATGTACCGGTAAGTACAAAATGCAAAGGCAACTTGAAGAAGACAGGCAGACTTGAACTCACCAGCTTCTCAAAGTTCACGAGGTTGTCATGAAAAGTCTTGTTGCCCTCATGGATAAAGGTGATATCTGCAGGAGGAGATTAAAAGGGAATTTAGGTTTTATTTCGGATATGCACGCAACTAATAAGTGTGCGCGATTGCCTTTCAAGAGAAGGGGCATAAACGGGATCTTTGGAGGTTTCATTCTTTTAAAAGCTTCTCGGTAGGCTTTGTGGTTAAGAGACGGATCCTGCAAGAAGAGGAGAGTGAGAAGACAATGATAAAAAGCAAAAAGGAAGGAAAAGTCTGATCCAAAATGAATCACAGCATGTGCCTTTTGTCCTCACCGTGATCAGCTCCAACTCTGCGAAAAGCTTCTTGAACTTCCCAGGACATTTCTTGAAGGAAAAAAAAAACAAAACACAAATCAAGAGTGTAATCGCACAAAAGTTACCAGGACCCAATTAAAAAAAAAAAAAAAAAAAAAAAAACACAAATCAAGAGTGTAATCGAATCACAAAAGTTACCAGGACCCAAATAGACGCTCACCTCCCAGGTTTGGTTGAGTCGACTCACGGCCGCTGTGTTGAGGCCCATGATGATGGCAAAGGCGGAGTTTAAATTCCTTTGAGCTTTGCAGCTGGCACAACGCGCACAAAAAATAAATAAATCAATCCAAAACACGTCATCACCGGAGTTTAAATTCCTTTGAGCTTTGCAGCTGGCACGACGACGCACAAAAATAAATAAATAAATAAATACAAAACATGTCATCAGGTTTCAAAACCAATTCTCGTTCATCAGGAGTGCGTGTGCCTACTGAGCGGCGATCTTGATGAACTTCTTGAGCAGCTGCACTCTCTTGTTGAGCGACGTGCACATGAGAACTTCGGACATAACCCACTGCTGGACCTCGTTGCAGCGCTGCAGCAGGACGGAGAGCGCCGCCGTGTGGCCCCCGCCGGGAATGCGCCTGAGGGTGTAGTAGACCAGCTCTTGCTGCGGGACCAGACGTCAGCTTAGTTAGCAAAAATGCAGTGGTGGGAACTTACAGCACCCAAGTAACATTTCCACCAAGTGTACACAAGTACGGTTGACTGACAGTTGTTGCAAGACTTAAGAGTTACCCTCCGCTTATCCTGCAGGTGTCGAGAGAAGGTTTCCGACAAGCCACCTGCGGTTTCATACCTCATGGATGGATTTGAAGAGGCTCCAGTCCAGGTGTGTGAGCGCCGCGGCGACGTCCCACGTGTTGATCCCCAAAAGGCGCACCGGCCTCCTGCTGAGCTCGGCGCCGTCCGTCAAAGGAGGCTGCAGACAGCGAAGGAATATTCCTCACCTATTTTCACTCTCGGCAAATCTCCCCTTCGCTGTATCTGCGTCAAACTACATAACACGAACAATTCATCGACGTACCAAGATCTCAGCCAGATCTCTGCGGCAGACGACAAGCCTGCCCTGCGGGGTCAGGGACTCGGAATACACACAGTCGCTGGGCTGCAACATCCTGCGCTCTGCAGACGTAAACACAATGGAAAGTGAAAGGCCAGGATAAAACAACCACGTCTAGCCTACGGTGCGTGCGTGTGTTTACCTCCAGTGTGGGAGACCACAGCAAGCACCATGTCGTCTTCTGACCTGTCCATCTTCAGTCTCACGATTCTTAGCAGCTCGTGGGCCTCCAGCGAGGGATGCGTGTGGACGCTCAGGTAGGAGTCGGCGCTTACGTAAACGCAGCAAATAACTGGGAGATGCGCGGAGCGCGACAAAGAGGCGTGAGCTTACATCTGCTGCATTTTTTTTTCCCCCAATTGAACCCCCCCAAATCCAGACCGCGGTGCATTTCAAAATGTCATTCTGCAAAACTGAAAAGTCCATAAGAGCGAGTGACTCTTACCTTCTCTCGTCTCACATTGCGGAGTGCGAAGTTGCAAACAGTTTTCCTTCAAACTCAACTGCTGGTGCATTGGTTTGCTCTGGCGGAGAACACAGCAATCATGTTCTGTAGCTTTGACTCACAGTTGTGACGGCGGAGGGAAAAAAAAAAAAAAAAGGATTGTCCTTATTGAACGGCGGCACGGTATTCCTGTTACCTTTTGCGTTGGCGGACAGTCATCCACCGTGCTGCAATGAAAGCCCGCAAGCAGTGAGGAAAGCAGGACGCCGCACAACGAAAACGCGCTTGTCAGTCCAAGCGAGCGCATACGATTGCACTTACTGTCTGCGACGCAGAAGCTTCTGGAACTCTTTGAGGTCTTTCTCGAGCGTCGGGAACTCGTAGAGATCTTCGAGCACGCACCTGTACAGAGTCTAACAGAGCACGACTGTTAAATAACTGTCAGATCACGGTTTGAGAAGTAGTCACGGGAATGGTTTTGGACCTGTTGATGCAGCCGGTGACTGATTTAGAAGAAGAATGACAACATAGCATAGCAAACATCGAAATAACATTGTCGCTGGAAGTCTCGTATGCCCAAATATGGTCAATTTGTTTTATGGTGTGTCCCCCATGTTGTTTGTATTTTAATGCATTATTAAACAATTTAAGGTGATTAAAAAAAAAAAAGCTTGAGGAGAAAACTACTTAACTCATTCACTCCCAAAGACGTTTTTAAACGTCTTTTCAGACTTGGTCTAGAATTGGCTGCTACTGAATGAGTTTTAACTGTCTTGAAATTTCAACTGTTTCATAAGTCTTGTAAAACTCCGCCTCTTTCCTCACTCTGCGGGAGCCGCGTGGCATTATGCTGCCTCGAGATTGCAAGTTTTCAATGTTTCCAGTCAAGACTGCTGGTGCAGAAGGCAAGTGGTTCGCCGGGAAGGTAAAAAGCCTGCGGATTCATTAAATTATTATTTTTTTAAACACATGGGTGAATATTAAATATCAGTCGTGGTTTAAGTGTACATGGAGCAGCATCATTAACTCTCACGAGACGCGACTCATGCATGCAAACACCTGCTTGTCATTGTCATTGACCCACCAAAGGCTCCTCCCGCTCCTAGTTGAAGTCTTATTTCTCTGTTGCTAGGCAACTATCGCCCTGGTTGCACACTGTACGAGATTATACCCATGCCAACCCTCACGGCTTTGGTTTCCGTAGCAACCCAGCCGAAGCCGTCAGGTTACACAGGGACAAAAAAAAAAAAAAAAACAGGATTTTGGCAAGAGTGTGCCCTTGTTTTAACCAAACGTGTAGCTATTCGCAGACGGGATGATCGTCCACACGCGGGCGTCTTTCAGATTCTCTGGCATGCGCTGCGCGTGTACATTTCTGCGCAGCCGGATGAAATACGAAAAAAAAAAAAAATAAACGATTTTGGCAAGAGTGTGCCCTTGTTTTAACCGAACGTGTGGCTATTCGCAGACGGGATGATCGTCCACACGCGGGCGTCTTTCAGATTCTCTGGCATGCGCTGCGCGTGTACATTTCTGCGCAGCCGGATGAAATATGAAAACCATCATCATTTTTACAGAAGCTTTGGCGTTTAATCCTCCCGTCTCCGCCACTTTGTTGCCCTGCGGCACTTGCGGATGACAACCTAATTTCAGAAGAACAATGCAGGTGAAGATAAATGAAACTGGAGTTCAATGTGATATTGAAGGAAGAAAAAAAAAAAGAAGAGCTCTGGGGGGGCTGGAGTGGCGGGCACAGAGTGATACGCAAGAGCACGTACCTTCATGAAACCCCGAACATGCTCCTCCTCCTTGAGGAAGTCCTTGTAGAGTCGGCTCCAGTGGGAGACCAATTGCAGGACCTTGCGCTTCCTGAAGAGGGTATCCTTTCCCTCCTCCTGGCCCCTGCTGCGCACGCTGCTATAGGTGAGAGCAGTCAAGGAGACGGCAAACGACGCGTGACGAGACTTTTCGTAACCTGGACGGATGTGTTCCGATTTTGTCCGCCTTTGTCATGAAGGATATTGTCCCAGCAGAGCTTGACAGAGGTCAGACGTGGACATGAACACCAGGTAGGTTAACAGGAAGTCGTCCAACAGCATTTCTGTAGCAGGGCAAAGGTCTCATCAGCCGCGTGCACATGAATACACTCTTTGAAGGCTTATCTTTTAGAATGGCAGAGTAAAAAATGAACACTCACTCAACCAGTCTTTCATGACTTACACTCTTTACTATCAGAAACGTATCACGTTATTATCCTCGGTTCTGACTGACACTCATTCATTGATCGTTTTATTTTACTCGACTCGCCACTCGAAGGGAAATTATCCCACACGCGCTTGCTAATTTACGGTGACAGACAGACACGCAGATCCGATCCGCCAACACGTACAAACAAAAGTCTTTCGCGGATGCAGCCAAGGGAAATATGTCAGAGTGAGGACATGATCACATGTCATCCCATTTTAAGAGCTAATTGCTTTGGCTTTCTGGTCTGTGCTGGAGGACTCCAGGTGGGGTTATGTAAGAAAGGCTTGGCGCGAATGCACGCATATGAACCTTGGGGGGGGAGTTAAAGATTGCCACGAGGGTATTTTGTGTGAAATCCTTCCAAGTGATGGTTGGCTTGAGCAAGCAACACCTTTTGCAGAATCAACGGGACTTGTTTGGCTCCACGTTAACGTGCCTCTCAAAGAATAAAGGAATTTTGCATTCTGTGACATATTGGCATCATGGGTTGGCAAGTGGCTCAAAGCGGAATATAAAGAGCCCTTGAGAGAGCCCTTGAGAGAGAGAGAGAGAGAGAGAGAGAGAGAGAGAGAGAGAGAGAGAGAGATGTAATGAGTAATTGCTGGCAGCAGTGTACAAAAGCCTGCGTGCGTCAAGAATATTCGCCCCGGAAAACGTACGACCCAAATATTGTTCTGTCGGGCTCGGAGTGAAGAAATCCATTCTAGACAACGGAGCAAAGGGTCTTTCCATCAATAAGTGATGAGAGATGACTTAGGATTCAAACGCCGCCGCCGCCGCTGCCTTCACATTGTGTCCGAAGTACGTTGATGCAGCCACACAAAGTACACGGCGAGATGGGCGGTGCGGAAGAGGCTCCTGCGTCACAACTAGACACTGAAGGATTGAAATACAGTATCTGGATTTATTTTTGAGGTTTAGAGCTTACAATGGCACTTTGCAGTAAGCTTTGGGTCATTGTCCATCTGCACTGTGAAGCACCATCCAATGACTTCTCAAGATAAGATATCCTTTATTTTACATTCTGCTACTTTTGACAGCAGGCACATCATCACCAGCTCCAATGTGTGTCACGTGCCATTTATGGACTGTCCGAAGTACGTTGATGCAGCCACACAAAGTACACGGCGAGATGGGCGGTGCGGAAGAGGCTCCTGCGTCACAACTAGACACTGAAGGATTGAAATACAGTATCTGGATTTATTTTTGAGGTTTAGAGCTTACAATGGCACTTTGCAGTAAGCTTTGGGTCATTGTCCATCTGCACTGTGAAGCACCATCCAATGACTTCTCAAGATAAGATATCCTTTATTTTACATTCTGCTACTTTTGACAGCAGGCACATCATCACCAGCTCCAATGTGTGTCACGTGCCATTTATGGACCTGACGGTATGTCAATTAAATAATGACAAATAAATCAGGTATGCAAGTGAGCTTTTCTAGATGAATCAAGATTTTGGTTCAGCAACAGGTGGCGAAATCTGGACCGCACAAGCGAGTCAAGAGGTCAAACTGAAAACACAAATAAATAAATACATCTCTCCCCCCCAAAACTCATGTGCCAGAAAAAAAAAAGCAAAGACATTTTTGAAATCAGTGTCAAAATACATTTAGGGACACATAAAGTCATCTGTGACTAAACTTTGCTGGTGATCAGTGTTATTTCTCGAGCTAGCGAGCTAGCTAACCAAAGTGATTTCTCATTGTCTTCTCCTCGGGCAATTATATTCTCCTCCGACGAGCCTCCTGGGACGCTTGCCCACTGTACACTCTCTGGGATGATAAATATCCATTTCTTTCAACAACATATGTCCTCTACATTTGCCTGCTGGCACACAAAGTCAAAAACATTCACTCATTGACAACAATATTTCTCTCACGCGCACACACAAGCGAATAACTTATCCAGCTGCGACCTTGGGGGACTTTTATCTCTCGTGAGAGGCGGAGAATGGTAAAATTAAGTAAAATTGAGAGTTGTTTTTCATCATTTTGTGGCTTTATTCTAGTGGACCTTATAATCGGTACACACTTCATGCCGATCAATATACTTTGAGAACATCTGCATAATTTTTTTGGTCAAATATGTTCTGCATATTTTTGCACCTTAATCATGCAGAGATGTTATTAATATCAAGGTTGATGGGGAATGAGAACAAACACCCTCGCTTGGTGTGGGCGACGCTGGCATTGATGAGCCTGTTGAATAATGACGACGATCATTGCAGTACCGATTTAAGCGTGGCATAGATTTGTCGAGGATAGTGAAAGAGCGTGTTCGAAGGTCCCATGTTGTAATCCAACAGTATTTCCATCCGGCATTGTGAATATCATAAAAGATTGCAAGAGTAGCTCGGGGTTGTTGCTAAGCCAGAAATTGAAAAAAAAAAAAAGGATTGAATAAGATACTCGGGGCACGTGTGATCATTGGAGGGTCACGGTACAAGTCCCGCTGCGAGCAAATCGAAATTGGACAGACGCTAGTCCACAATCCTGATGATGTCATCATGCCCTTGAGCAAGGCACCAACCACGAAACAGCAAGCAGATGATTTGACTGATGCGGAAATATCACGGAAAAGAAAGATCAAAGATGATGATCACTGGGATGACTTTCATAATTCTCCTTGGATGACTGGGGTGGAACTACAACATACACAGTAAAAATGTCATATCCCCTCTGGGGATCAAAATGAGTCGGTTTTGCAACTTTTGACGTGCAGAGTAAATTTCAATGATCCGCCAACGGTAGTCACTGAAAACCGCAGGTGGGGTTATTGTCTTTGCACCACTAGCCCGTCGCCAAACTCGAAGATGGAAGCACACACGCCTTGTGAGACCACAAAATTGTGTCGCAATCAACAGATTTGGAGTAAGCTTCTCAGTGATGGCGGCGATGATCAGTGATGTCATTGAAGATGGCATCGCCGCTGCCTTTGTCACAATGCGCCGCGACGCCCACGTGCATCGCCGATCAAAACGACCGTCACGCTGAGCGCTCGCCGCATCGACGCGAGCGCAGGAAAGTCAAACGCTGCGACGCTGCGAGCGGCACATCCCACCCCCCACCCCCCCCCCAAAAAAAGCGTAGGCCCATCGAGTGAGCGGCATGTCAAAAGATGATAAAAAAGAAATTAATTTTGTCCACCGGGACAAATTTCTCGCGGAAATGTTCCTGAAAGCCGAGAGGTCGGTCAAACCGCATACGACGTTTCAAGTCAACCCGTTAAAGAAAACGCATATCCTTCCAGACACGCCCACCACCATGGACCCGTCGATAGTGATGGCGAAAATTAAGGAGCCTGGTTTCGCAGATACGACCGTAGTCAAGTTAAACATGGACCCGCACGGCAAGAAGGAGGATTTGTGGGATCCCGAAGCGGAAGAGGCTCGGCAAAAATTGCTGAACAACAAGCGCATGAGAGAAGGCCTTGATGAGCAAATGAAGGAGCGGCAAAGAATAAAAGAGGAAGAGCGACGGATCAAGACGGAAGAGCAAGAGATGATCAAGTGCCTCGGCGAATTATACGAGCAGGAGCTCGAGGAGTCCGCGCACAACATGGCAGAGGCCAAGAAGAGATTATATCAAGAAATACAGGAAGATATCGCCGATAGCCGGCTGTTCCGGGAAAAAGAGGCGCACAGAGAAATGATGGAAAGCAAAAGAACCGCGGAAATACAACTCAACTTACTCGAAACGTACTGGAAAAGAAAAACGACCAAGAAAGTTTTTCCGAAGAGCGGCCGAAGTAAGAACCTGTAACCGAAGACCCAACGCGTATCCTCATCTCATCATCGTATCTGCAGAAGAGCGGCCGAAGTAAGAACCTGTAACCGAAGACAACGCGTATCCTCATCTCGTCATCGTATCTGCGCAATGGCAGAGGCGGCGGAGAAGCAGACGGCCGCTTTGTCTGAAGAAGAACTGGATGGGCCTTCAATCGTGGCTCCAACTAGCCCGTCAGTGCCAATGGGCGCCCGCCCGGAACCGCAGCATGACTTTTAAACCTGACGTGGCTAACAGGTAGAAGACAATAAAATGTCACACTCGCGTAACGGTGTGAAATGAATACCGATTTGGTGGTACCAGCATTTCCATACAGTTCTTGCATTGGTGGTGGAGACACGAGTCCAGAATCCAGTCGTGTGCTGTTTATGAATCTTCTCCGAAGCTGTTCTTGTTCACTGCCCTAATAAAAGTCTGTCTAAAAATCCCCATTTTTGATTTATTTATTTTTTCAAGCTTATTTAGCTCCAATAAGCTCGATAAATTCGTTGTCTCTTGGGTTCATCCGTTTTTATTTTTCTTTTCTAAAAAAGGGGAATTGAACTTTGCATGGTCAACGTTTGGAAATTGCGGCGGCAATGTCTGCGATCACCTCCTACCCCCCTCCCTCCCCACCCTGAGGGAGTCTTCTCACAACAGCCATCGGAGCATGTCACCTCTTGAATAGTTCTCGCGTCTACAGGCGGTGACATGGCTGAATGACTGCACACAAGCGCCTGGATGCGATGCGAGTGCTGAATAATCTCCACACGCGCACGCGCACACACACACACACACACACACACACACACACACACGAGGTTTTGTTCGAACTTGCTTGACATCCAGGATTTCAGCGCCATGAGTGGCACGTTTGGTATGTACTGCAATGTGGTTTTTAAAAATCGACTAGTCAACCGGCCCTTTCATGTGGGCAACGAGAGCCGCACCCGCATTCGTCTGTTCGTCGACACTCTGCAGACTTGTTTTGAAACGTCCTCTCGGACTAAAATCGCTCATTTTCTTGGAAAAGCAGGCACACATTTCAAACTTACCGCTCTCCGTACTCTCGGGCGCCCCTCTTTGCTCATCGAGACGCAAGTCACTCAGCAGATGCTCCAAGATCTTCAGTGGCGTCCCAGACACCACCACATACCTGTAAGACCAAAACGGATAAGAACCCTCCTCGCTCGAGCGCCAGCCGCTTCGGTCGCTCCATCCCCCGTCCACGTCAGTCTCGTCGTCGTCAATGTAACGAAAATGGGGAACGTCGAATGCGCAGGCGACGGCCTCATGATTGCCGGCTTCTTCTTCTTCGTCGTCGTCGTCATCGCTGTCATCTTCGTCCAAGTCTTCCTCTGCTTTGGCAAGAGTCGCTCGCTTGGTGGTCATCCTCGTGAACGGACACCGGAGGAGTTTGTGTGGTCATCTAAGTTTTGCGCAGCCGCGGGCGAGAGCTCGAATGTGAGGAAGGAAAAAAAAAAAACCTCTCCTTGTGCCTCTTGTCATCTAAAGATTGAGCGCATACTTTCAAAGCAATTGGGAGGGAACTGTTGCTAAACACGCACACACCCACTTACTAACCTGCGTCTGTTAATAACACTCGCTGGGTTGTGCATTTAGGCTGAGCATAGACCCCAAAAGAAAAAAAAAAAAGGACTTTCAAAAGACACGGTCATGATTTACTTTCTGGAAGAAAGCACGCCTACATAACTTTACTTGGGTAAATATGTCAATGTAAGAGGATACGCGGGAGGCGGGACCGACCTTTTGTCTTCCTCTCTGGACCCGCCCCCCGACGACGTGGGCGAGGGCCGTTCGGATGGCGACGTCAGCGACGATGTCACCCTCTGCAACACCAACACGTCGCGTCCTCGCTCCTTCAGACAAACTCGCCCGACCACCTCCTGACGAAGACAGCGGACGGAACGGAATTTTCAACAAGCCAAAAAAAAATTCATCAAAAGAAGCCGGGTGAGATTTGGACTTTTAAATTCAGGCGAAAGGAAGACGACCCCCCCCCCCCCACCCCCCCGGATTGGTCGCGATATTAATGAATTCCCTACACTGGGTAGCCCCTGTGTACATCCAAAGGATATTCCTCAAGTCATCCAAAATGGGGGAAAAAAACAATCAAGTTGTGGCGTATACGCTGCGGCGCCAACAACATGAAAGGTTTCTCCGATTCATGTTTCGGCGTTCTCGGGACAAATGCGGTGGGCGACACGTCTCTTTGAAACATGAAGCGCAACCTGATCTGGGACTGGCACCCGATGACGCCGTTACGGACGATGAAAAAGGGAGTACAATAGCGTGTGGAAAAAGGAGGCATCGTAAACAGGTGGAGCGAGGAGGATCAAAAGAAGACGTCAGGAGCGGGAGAAGAGATCAAGAAGCATCGTCTCTCCTCCAGCTGCGCGCGGCGCACTGTCAGCCCGAGGGACTGAGAGACGATCACAACTGCTCCAAAGAACCACACAGACGAGTCAATCTGCTCCTCCACAGCACAGATGCATCCGGGATATCAGGTGGTATTGCACGCGCGGTTTACTTGCGTGAACAAAAGAGCTCGGGTTCTAATTTTTAAGATGATCAGCCTCCAGGGGGCATGTTTGCAAAACAGAGAGATTGCTATGGAGTGGTTGGCAAAAGTCAAGTCGACTTTATTGTCAAATATGCTCTATGTGCAACATACAGCACGGATGAAATTTCAGAGTGCAAACGCAGGAGAGAGAGGAGCCGCCGCGGGTGCCCGCGCCGACACCAACAGAACAGGTTCACATAAAATGACAAAATGATACACCACAACACATAAGACACAGACAATCGTGTAATCTTAACCACTTTTCCTGCATACATTTTGCGGTTTGAAGCAGTTATCGATGAAAGAGGAGAGAATCAAAATGTCCTTTCACCAGTGGATCAGAGACGTCATGCTGAAAATGTGCACACGTCTGCTACAAGCGAAGTTCGAAAGCAAACAAGAAGCTGTAGCGTCCATTGACGAAAAAGAGAGATTGGCTCACATCTCCTGTGCCAATGTAAATCCGCTTCAATTCCAAGCCGCGACTCCCAGTTCCACATACACACACACACATTGTGCATTGAAAATGTAATACACTGTAAAAGTGGAATTAAACCCGCGGCACAGCATGCACTTAAAGGAGACACTTGGGCATGACTTTGATAGTTCAATGGAAGCACCCCTGCATCTCTTCCGGAACATTCCGACCTGTCAGATTTTACAGGCCTAACGTCCATTTTTTTTTCCCAGTCAAATGTCATCTATACAGACACACAAAAAAAAAAAAAAAAAAAAAAAACTTACATCTTCAATTAAACTGACTATGTTATAATGATGGGGAAAAAAACGAAACAGGATTATGTAAGTGGTGTGATTAGAAATACATTAGCAAGAGCTGTGGGAATGTGCTGCTACATTGTAGATAAAGTAGCAAATTGTTGATGTATCCGATTAGACGCGCGATTTAGATAGCCAAGAACAACAGGAGAAAGCCCAGAATGGAGAAGTGAACACGCACACGAAAACATACGATCAAAAGAAAGTGTGGCAAAGCTTAAACCGGTCATGCGATGTGTACTTGTATCACAAGAAAACACACCCAAAATAATTAGAGGGGCGCCAGATAAGAGCACAAATTTAGGAAATTGTGTAAGGCACAGAAAGCGGCAAAAAAAAACATATCGAGATACAAAGTAGGAAGTTGAAAGGCTGCGTGTGTGGGGTGATGGCGTGTTATGTAACACGGATTAAAGAAAAGAGAATGGAAAGTGGGAAAGCAAACAAAACCAAAAACTTGTCAGGTGGAGAAGACAGCGCTTAAATCCAGATCAAATATTTTATGAATACTGAAACAGAAACAAAAACAAACCAACAAAAATACATGTTGGATGCCCAAGTATGTCACTGGGCGCCATTTTCTCCAATAATAAAACGTGGACAACTGACATGGAGGAAAACACTAACAATCCAGAGTTCTCAGCCTTTACACGCAATTATCTTCAAACATCCATAAAGTATTGACAAGCAAATAATCTCTGAATTGACTCGACAGGGTTTTTAATATCTACTCGAAATTCAAAATGTTTATTCTTTCGGAACAGGAAATGGGACTTTTTTAATTTGTCCTTGGCTAACAGGTGCGTCAGCCTTTTTCCCTTCCTTCAATTCAACCATCTGAACATCCTTCACTCTCCCCAACCTTCCTCACTCTCTCTCCTTTTGTCATTCCCCCGAAACTCATTTTCGCTTTCCTCTCTCTTCAGTGGGTTCAAGCCAGGTCTGCCTCTGCATCTGCCTTTCGAGCGGGCAGTCTCAACGCCCCCCCCCCCCCGAGATTTGGATTTGGGAACAGCGGGCCGGAGACGAAACAGCATGCACCTGCTATGTCGCACGCAGGGTCACGCACGCAGAAGATGACGTACGGTGCAGGGGAAAGGCGGGCTTGGCCCCTCACGGAAAGCCAAAGAGGAAGCACTCTCTGCTCCCGGCCAATTCATGCCGGTATGTGTGCGTGCGTGTCGGCATAGTCATAATCTGTGTTGTGATAGCTCGAAGGCCTACTTCCTGGAAATGATGGATAGGAAAAAATGAAATCCCAATACATTTGGGCAAGCAGTTTGCACAGCCGCGGCAAGCGTTGACTGACACATCCCCTCCATGAAGTGAAAGACTGGCAATGCACTGTAAGGACCTGCCAATGCATTCTATGCGATTGTTACCTTCCGGGACGGAATGGCGTCTGAATGAAATGTATGAAGTCAAATTGGTGTTCACTGAATCGAAGGCAGCGATGCATGCAATCCACAACACGGACCGCATGAATCATATCGCTATGGCAACAGACGGTACTGCTTCGTCAGGGCTCGGCCGTCACGGGAAGAGAAAGTAAAATCAAGTCACTATGACAACCTTAGTCAAAGGAAAGCGGTCTTTATCGCGAGCCAAGGTTGGTTTGGGCGCTGCACCGTCTAACAACTCTCTCATCGCTGAGATTCTGTTTCATATCCAAGTACGGCCCCTTTGATGTGCCGCCCTCTTATTTCATGAATATTTCAAAGCATCGCATTCCGCCAGTGTGGTACCAAAGTATATTTGCCTCAAGTGAGTCGAGTACCATCATGCTGGAATCCATTTTTAGCTTATGTTCCAGGAAATGACTTTTTTTTTCCCCCAATTACAAATCTTCAAAAAAAAAAAAAAAAAAAGTGAAAAATCAAATGGGGACTAAAATCAAAAGAAAATATTTTCAGGTGTCAGTTGTTGTTGCTTTGCCATAAAAGGAAAAGATGCTGACACAACTCAATATAACAGCTCGTTTACTGTCCAGGAAGCAGCTTTCCAGAGCCCAGCAAATATGGTGCCTTGCTCAAGGGCACAATAGCCCTGCGTGCCAATGCCAGTTAAGGGAGTCAAACGTTAGGTCGGCGGCAATATGCGCTTTCTGCATTATCGGTTGTTGTCAATATTTGCCGTTGCTTGAAAGTAGACTCGTGCCCATTTGATCACGTGATTGGAAATCGGGGTCGATCACTTAATCTTCAGGTGTTCAGTTGTTGTTGCTTTGCCATAAAAGGAAAAGATGCTGACACAACTCAATACAACAGCTCGTTTACTGTCCAGGAGGCAGCTTTCCAGAGCCCAGTAAATATGGTGCCTTGCTCAAGGGCACAATAGCCCGGCGTGCCAATGCCGGTTAAGGGAGTCAAACGTTAGGTCGGCGGCAATATGCGCTCTCTGCATTATCGGTTGTTGTCAATATTTGCCTTTGCTTGAAAGTAGACTCGTGCCCATTTGATCACATGATTGGAAATCGGGGTCGATCACTTAATTTGCCATAAAAGGAAAAGATGCTGACACAACTCAATATAACAGCTCGTTTACTGTCCAGGAAGCAGCTTTCCAGAGCCCAGCAAATATGGTGCCTTGCTCAAGGGCACAATAGCCCTGCGTGCCAATGCCAGTTAAGGGAGTCAAACGTTAGGTCGGCGGCAATATGCGCTTTCTGCATTATCGGTTGTTGTCAATATTTGCCGTTGCTTGAAAGTAGACTCGTGCCCATTTGATCACGTGATTGGAAATCGGGGTCGATCACTTAATCTTCAGGTGTTCCATTATCGGGTGAATAATACCCGATTTTCTTTATTTTTTTAAAAAGTCCATTGGAAGGTGTGCTCTCCCTCACACACTTGCGGGATCCAAACCGGCTAAATCAATCCCTGAGACAGTTTCCGATTTGATGGCACCTTTTGCACTTGCATGTGATCCCGAGGCTGGGCGTCATCAAATGGCCAGGGCGTCTGATGTGACGTGTGGCAGATGCCGAAAACGCACACGCCGTTACAGAGGGCGCAAGCCGACTTCCTTTCGTGTTGTGAGTGTGAGTGGGGATGGTTGGTCGTCTGTTTGCGCCCTGCGATTGGCTGGCAACCGGTTCAGGGTGTCCCCTGCCTACTGCCCCTAAGACGCCTGGGATAGGGTCCAGCACCCCCCGCGACCCTTGTGAGGATAAGCGGATGGGGAACTGATATACAATTAAAAACTCGATCTCGACTCAAGCTCATGGAAGGAAGACCCCCCCCCCCCCCAAACTGCATTTTGGGGACAGATCTGGATAACAGGCTAAGATTCAAAACATGTGACACAGGCCGGACAAAACAGCCCAAAAAGGGATCCGAATTCAAAGATTTGTTTTGAAATAAAATGCTTGAAAAGATTGCAAGAACTATCACCCCCCGCGACCCTTGTGAGGATAAGCGGATGGGCTAAGATTCAAAACGTGACACAGGCCGGACAAAACGGCCCAAAAAGGGATCCGAATTCAGAGATTTGTTTTGAAATAAAATGCTTGAAAAGAATTGCAAGAACTACGTGGCACTGAGTTGCGTCGATTCCAGTCACAGTGCACTCTACTCATGACATTCAAGTCACCATCTGGAAACGTCGCTGCTTCGAAATGACAACAATCGCGTGCGTCAGCTTCACCAAAAGTGACCTAAGCGTGCCATTGCGAGCAATCCTACCCTACATGATCTCAATCACTGGCATGTGACGCATGCTCGACTCACCGCCTGGCTCCTGTCCGGTAACCGGTAGTTGTGGTTCTGCAGCAGCCGGCAGCCATCCTTGGCCAGACGTTGGACGGCCTCAAAGCCCAGTCGGCTGGTCAGCTCCTCACGGCCACACACGGTCCCGTTGCCGCCGCCGCCGTTGCCTCCACCGCTTCGCAGAGCGCACGAGCCGCCCAGCTGCAACACGGGGGGCATGAACACATATCTCAACCCACAGTCCCAAGACATGACGGAGAGAGTCCGACTTTGCTGGTGGGATGTACGCTCAGTGTATTGGTCCGACGTGAAAAGTTATGCCTGATCCCGAAGTCTGCGTTAACTTTCATTAAGCCCGTGTGAGGAAAAAGAGAGGCAAAAAAAAAAAAAAAAAAGTCATCCAGGGACTCTTTATCTCTGGTCTCTAAAGCCTCATTATCCCAAATCGGATTCATTCTACATTATACTCTGTAATTCCCTCTATCTGTTGCATTTCTTTCTTTGTCTCCATGTCAGCAGATCTGGCGGAGAAAGAGCGAATGTGAGTGATTATCAGCCTAAGTGGGCGGGAGTGTGTGTGTGTGTGTGTGTGTGTGTGTGTGTGTGTGTGTGTGTGTATATTGGCTTGTGCGTCCCTCTGCTCTAATCAGGATTTAGAAAGTTTTAACCGTGTTAGCCTTGCTGAACGAAGAGCAAAGTGCATCATTGGGAGTTTGCGGGGGGGGGGCTCGAGTATGAAAGGAGATCGAGATTAAAAGTATGCAGGGGGAAGTCATGAGCAATGTCGGCAAATGATGGGGAAAAAAAATGCCTGTGTTGTGTGTCATTATCACTCGTGGCAGGTAGATTTTTTTTTTTTTTTTTGAGGGACAGGAGGAGGGGATTTTTAATTTCCTCAAGAGTTAAGTGACCACTTCCTGTGTGCTTGACTATCCCGTCGTGGCGTATAATCGTGGAGGCTCGCAAGTTGAAGGCATCACTCCCACACATTCTGTTTACTAGAAAAACACCCTCGACCGGCGCTCATCTGGGGGAAGGCCTGATAACACACAAACACACACACACACACACACACACACACACACACACACACATACACACACACAAAGCCCAGGAAGTGTTTGTTTGCAGTGTGTGTCACACTTGTTTCTCGATCCCCCCCTTTGTGTTGATACGTTTTTGAAAACACCCCCCACGGGAATGAAGTTACGGACATCCGCTATTTTTGCACCATTTTGTACTTGTGCTTGTGTGTATGATGTTTAGGCAAAAACAAAAATATACAGACGGGTTATTTGACGGTCAAGCTCGCCCGAGACTTTAATGAGGACGGGGGGGAATGAGGAGAAAATGGATTGCTGTTTTACCGGGCTGGACTCCGCAATCGGTGAGTGGACGTCCTGCTGGCTTGTCTCTGGCATGTCAGAGTCCTGCTCTGATACTGCAAACAGAGACAGAAGTCGGGTAACATCTTTTTGTTTTTTTTTTTTTTTTGCAAAGGTGTGTTGTCCCAATCGACTCTGGCTGCATGTTTACTCACAAGCTTTGCGCGTTTTTCGGGCAAGAGCAGCAGCCAACTCACTTTGTACCTAATGGAAATGGGGTGGAAAGAAAAAAAAATTGCACAGTGTATCATTCCATACAGTGCGTTTTTTTTTTTTTGTTTTTTTTGCGCACAGATATTGACGTACTGTTGACGTGAGCCTTTCTAGCGCTTTCATCTGGAGGATCTCGCTGCAGACATCCCGGTTTCCCTCAGAGTCCTCCTCTGACCTTGGAGAGACACAAAAACAGCTCCACTTATTTCCTGGTAGTCTGATCCAAAGACTGAGAGAGCGCCACAGAAAGAATAGCTCCCTGTTTGATATATCTCGAGCAACGCAAAACTGCTTGCATCACTGATGGAGGATGAGCACGACTGCCTCTGGCAACACCTCGCTGTTTATCATCAAAGATGCTGCAAGGTGCAGTCATGTTCCACGATGTAGCGCATGCACAAATCTCATTCGAAATAAAAGAGTACGAGCGTAAAAGTCACAAATCTTCCTGTTTTCAGCGTGTTTCATAAATGAAAAGTAGCCCTCCCATCATTCGATTTTTTTCCCTTTTTTTGGGGGGGGTGGGGGGGTGTCTGAATGTGCCGCTTGATTGAATGGTGTCTGTTTCGTAGGCTTACAGCTCACCTGCCACCTTGATGAAGACAAGCTACCGTATTTTTCCGCACTATAAGGCGTACCGAAAAGTCTTCCATTTTCTTAAAAGCTCACAGCGCGCCTTAAAATGAGGTGCGCCTTGTGTACGGTCATTACGGTAATATGTCGACCCCCAAGATGGCTCCTTGCTGGAGACATGCTTACAATGTTATCACTTTTTTCAATGAAACTACGAAAATTGAAAATAATGCCTCAAAATAGAAAATCAAGCGAGGAAATCACAAAATAAATGATCTAGGCCCCCTATACAATTAATTTTGGCATTTCCTCGTTTGTGAGCCTCGCGCAAAGACCGGTGATGACATTTGCGAGGCCTGGATGAGAACATCGAAACGAATTTGCAATTGTCAGCTCATCTCAGAGATCGTGTTTTCCAAAACAACGACTGACGTTGTGCCCCACACCAGTAAAGTTTTTCTAGACAGCCAGGTGGAGGACGTCAAGCGGCAGGGTGTGTGTGCGCGGTGGACAGGCAGCAGGTGCCAGCGGAGCAAAAAATAAAAAAATGCAGCAATCAAAGAGAAACGGGAGTCAAAAGCGCCAGACCGTATGAGAATGTCGAATACGTAACCGCATCTGCACAAATTATTTGGGCCAATAGTTGGGATAAAAGGAGTCGTTCCATTCCGGTGTATGCACACTTTTTTCTAATGTTCCTATATTTTCGAGGCCAGTGTATTAGGGTGCGGGGGGGGGGGGGGGGTTTGACTCAAAAGAAAAAAAATAGAGTTTTTATCTTGACTGTCCCCTTTCAACAATTTTCTTTGTGTTGAAGAGCACCTAATTGTCTACAAATCGTCGAGGTTGACTGTACGCTTCTCAGGATGCCCTAACGGCACCTTTTCAGACTGGCACAGATGAAAAAAAACTGATGGGGGGGGGGGGTTTAAAATGCCACATATGCGACTTTTGCTCATTTATCCGAGTGACAGATTGAGTTCAGCGCCACCCTCGGCAGGAATCCCACACACCGTAAAAAAAAAAAAAAAAAAGGCACAGCAAAGAACTTTAGCTGACACCCGCTGGATGCGGAGGTGCGTGCACAAGCGCGCTGAGGATTTACACCTCCGTAAAGGGATTTGGATCCGTGCTGGAATTAGAGGAAGATATTGGAGAACGTGTGAGGGGAATATACCGGATGTCGCATGAGCAGTCGTGCACGGGACATCCACCAACTCAAGTTTGTTTGTTTTGTTTTTTTTTTTTCTCAAAGTGAACATCTTTCCTTTTCTGTAGCTTGTCCCAGAAAGGACACCCTGGTCTGGTTGCCACTTGGAAAGCGTGATGATAACCTTGCCGAGGGGGAAATTCAACTTAGGACTGAAAAGTGTCTGCCTGCTCGCAATCACACAATGTCAGCAATACAATTCAGTTAACATCAATTCCATTTCATCAGTTGAACCGGGCAGGCAGAAATGAAAGAAAAAAAAAAAACGCAGCTCGTATTTATTGCCGCAAACTAGTCATTTGAGTGGGAAAATGTTGACAATATGAATGACTGACATTTATGGCAATCTTGAAGTTGGGGTTCCATAAAAGGGAGAACTGTTGTGCAACCATTTCTTTTCCCCTATTTTCTTTTTGTTTTCTTAACAGTGCAACGCGATGTAAACACCTTCGTGTTCCCTCCTGGGCATCTATTCAAAGGGTGAATATTTTCAACTTTGTTTATTTTCTCTTTTATGATACGCTGGTGAACCTCTCGACTGGAAAAAAAGACATCCCCTGCACGGTTAATAACAGTAGTTTGCGTCTGGGGGGGGGTGACATAAATCACTTGTGCCGTTTGTTTTGCATTCCGTTCTGTCGCCGCGACCCTCCAATTTGAAAGGCATCAATAGGCCAACATCAGAGACTTGGCAGAGCACCAAATTGACGTCTACGTGCGAGCGAGCGGGAGCTGTGGTTCAGATCAATGGAGACGCTCGTGGGGTTGCCAAGACTCTGAGTGATGGAAAACACAAATGCAACATTCTTGCCAACTCCAAACGTCATTGATTGAACCTATTAGCTTTGAGCTGAGACTTACGGGCTGTCGGTTCTGTCCGCAGAGCGAAACTGAACATACGGGGCAAGTTGTAGGAGGAGCCTAACAGCCTCTGGCCATTCCCCTTCGTTGGCACGAAACTCACAGGAGGTCGAGTCGCACTCCTCAAAACTGAACTGGTAGTAAGTGTTGGCGTCCGAGAAGACGACTCGCTGGTCCACTGGCGAGACAAGACAGCGTCTCATTGCGATGGTACGGAAGCAATGATGACATGACAAAATATTCTTGGCTAGCATGGATCACGTGAGCAGATGACAAAATGGAGTTTGGGGATTTACCGGACAGGAGGACGCCCAGTTCCAGCAGCACCTGCCAGACGCGCACGGCGGTGGTCCGGCAACGCACGTACACACATTGCTCGCACAGCCACTGCACCAGCTCCACGCCCACATAACTGCGCCTGTCAAATACATGAGATGTTCATTTTGCGTGCGAGCAAAAAGAAAAAAAAAAAAGGGCGCCAGTGATGCATACCGTACGGCATTGTATCTATTTTATTTTTTATATTTTGCATACACTGCAAAACTCCGTTATCTTACTGCATGCACAGCTTGACTGTCAGGTCAGGACGGGGAACTACTCTGACTGGTTAATCAGCGGTTACGCTTCATCACACACATTGATCGATGCCAAAGGAGACATACAAACAAACAAAAAACAAAAACACAGAGACAGTCAAGTGTACCGTATGATTCTGGCTAGGTGTATCTTGTCTTTAGCTGGGTATGGTCCATGGGAAAGGAAACCGTTTCTGACAGCCCGGCCAGCACAGGGGAAACTCTGGGAGCATGACTGAGACACGTGCAAAAACAAAACAAAACAAATAAACAACAAGAGGAATAGTAGAGCAAAGTTTTAAAACGTCATAAAAAGAAGCTAAATGCACAAATACACTTTGTTCAAGTATTATTAACGAGCTCCTTATATTTGCGTATTGGAAACGACCAATGAAAACACGTTTTGTATTTTATGTTTAACTTTGTCAGTGCGGTGGAGTTTGGCACATCTGCCTCATGATCGGGAGATCCCGGTTTGAATCTCTTGAGGAATATCTCGGTGATTTTCCGCCACATCCCAAACACATTCTTCTTTGTGATTGCTCAAAAGTAACTCCGCGAAGAAGCAATGGTAAATGTGGGGCAAATTTAATGAAGAATCTTTCATCTTGGAGACTTTGGAATTAAAGTTCTTATCATATTCGACCCTCGGAGAAAAGAGGATGTTTATTTTAGCGTATTAAGGTTTTTTTTTTCTGAGCTGTAAAACAGAATCCCCGATAGTGCTTGACGCAGCGAAGTGACGCCTGGATTCAGTCAAACTCAAACAAGCAGACGCTACACGGTAAGTCTGGCGAGGTGCTGCGGCAATCGAGCTGCCTGTAGGCCAAAATTAGTTTGAGTGCATCCAGATTTGACATATGATGACAGTTTAGCGCTTTGCTTTGGTTGAACCGCTTTTTTATTATTTTTTTTATCCTTTCAGGTTTCCGATCGGCTTGAGACGGAGAAAAAAAAACAACAACAAATTGACAGTAAAAGCACCAGCAGCAGCACTGACGTTTCAAAATGTCACTTTTTTTGTGCACCTTTCAAGAGTAAAAAGAAGAGAAATGTGACCGCCTCTCAAAACTCTCCCCGAGATCATTGTGCGTTTGCTGCATATATATATATAAACGGCCTAAAATGACCCCCCCCCCCGAGATGAAAATCCACACTGAGCTCATCTGTATTGAGGCTAAACAAACATACCGTCGCCTTGTCGCGAAAACGAAAGAGATGACATCATCATCCGTGTGCGCTCACCTTATTTACTGTCGGGCCTGCACTCGGTCCAGGGATCGTGTCAGGTGATTGCTGTTAAAAAAAAAAGAAAAAAAAAAAAACACACACACACACAGCCATGAGATCTTCCACACACGTGCACGCACGGACATGCGCACGCGTAAATACACAAAATAAACACAACCCCAACCGGTGAAAGACCAGTTTGGCAATCCCGAGCACAATTAGCCACCGCGCGTACGATTCAATAGCCGCAACAACCGCCTCTCATTCATTCACGTGATTCATTGACTTGACCTTAAGAGGGCGGTCTTGTGCGAGCGCCGAGCAGGACGATTTACCTGATTTCAAGTCAGGGGAAATATGACACACGTTTTCTCTCTCACCACTACAAGGGCACTGTGATCACCGTTCTTAATAGCGAGTACCATGACACCAGGTTGTAAAGCCGTTGCCCCCGGGCACACCCAAACTACCTCCTACTTCTCCTACCAGGAAATAGGCTCTTAATCTTTATGGATTAGTATGGCGGCAGCGGAGTTTATTGACACACCCGAAGTGAAAAGCTGGTCATAAAACTGATTAAAATGACTTACGACGGGTAAAACGACTGCGGAATTGGCAGTAAATGAAAGAAAAAGGTTCAAAGACCCTCTCCAAGTGAGTTCTGAGATTTTGTGGAGCACCCGCTGTGCTCCTGTGAGATAATTCACCAGTTCTCCTGGAAAACTGGAAGTAATTACAAAACCTGGATGTCGACTACACGTCTACATCAAGAATATGTCGAAATCCAGATGATGTGAAGCCACTGGACACGATAAAATTGAGTAAATTCAACACTGCATTTTTTTTTGGGGGGGGGTGATTATTTTTTATCAAATGGCGTACGTATGTGAAGTATCTCTTTCAGTGACTATATTTTCACGAATCGAACACACAGTACATACGTGTAGGCATAAGAAAGATGCTAGACAAAGTCGCATCCATCTTTTTTTTTTTTTCAAGTTGCCCAAGTGGTATTTGATTGACAGTTGACAGTTGAACAGGGTGTTGGTTTCAGCGCGTTCAGCGAGATGACACGAAATGAGTGACATTTTATGTATTGGGTGCTTTGTTTTTTTTGGGTTTTTTTTAATGATTGAAATTTGGCAGGGTTCTTAACACCCTGTCGTGTGTCAAATACAGAAGCGGGAGGTAGCAGCCTCCTTCCTCTCTCGCCTTCAGCCCTCATTATTATTCTAGTGGTTATACACTAAGTTGTCATACACTGGAGTTTCCCCGCCGCAGCATCATGTTTGCGGTGGGCAGTATTAAAAAAAAAAAAAAAAAAGAGCGACACTGTGGACAGTGGAGCGCTTTAAATGGCATCATCATGTTTTAAACATGCTTGTCTTGACACATGTATGCATCATTTCGTTCATCACAGTAGAATTCCCAATTTTAGAACATCACAGCTCAGCTTATTTTTTTTTTTTCATTTATTTATTTTTTTAAATGTGATCAGTCAAAACAAATGAGACGACCCGACCGTGTCCTACACGAATGTCAAGCAGCATGGCTCACAAAGTTGTGGGTTGGAAAACCGTCGTAGCTGACGAACGCCCAGATGATGACAATATGCCGTCGTGGAAAGACGAGTGCACACGCATTCGCGCACGGGGGGGAGGAGAAAGAGAGGATACAGTAGCACGCGCTCGCTAAAGTCGATGAAACACACAAGACACGGGGTGGGGGGGGGTGTGAATGTGACAGATGGAGAGGGAGCGAAACGAGCTGCGGAGGGATCATTTTAATTATGTTCATTAAAAAGAGAAACGTGGCCGAACACGATGGAGACGGACGGGGAAAGCGAGACGGAGGTGGAGGGAGACAAATGCGCGAAAATCACAACAGTGACTTCACATCCACTTGAGAGAAATTACGATACGCAATGGATGTTTCGCGACACGACTGGAGGAATTAAAACAAGCAAACCAATTGTCACAAAACTCCGTCGACCAGGAATCATTTTCGGAGGGACACATTTTCATTTTCACTAACTTTTTACGACTAATCGTTTCCATAATGGGTTCAAATTAGAAATTTGAAAGGAAACTGTTTGAAACGTGACGTAACAATACCATCAAACTACAGCGGTGACCCGTCGTGACTTTTGTCGCGATACAAGCCGATTGGAAAAAAAAGCTTCAAGCTGTTTAATGCCACCCCCAGTTTAAGATTCCCGTCAAACAAAACAGCAAACAAAGAAAATGACACGCTGGGTATTCAGAAGTCCATTTAGCGTACGCTAACAAACAGTGCGCAACGCCATAGGTGGGACTAGCAAAGAGCAGGCTTGTGTGGCGGTAAAAACAAACATTCCAATACATCCGAAGAATATAATAATTCTCACAGACACGTTTTCTTTATCCTCTGTGAAAAACGACGAATATTGCTGCAGGTTTCTGAATGGCTTCCAGTTGTGAAACTCTCATTTCTGCCTGCAAAGTTTGTGTGACACAAGAGGCCAAATCGCGCACACAAGAAGGACCCGCATTGGATTATTATTTTTTATTTTATTTTTTTTTTTTTTTACATTTTATTCATTGATAAAAACATTAAAGTCGAATATTACAGACCACAATTTTCCTTATTGAATAATACATGACAAAATCTTTTTGTTATTTATTCGGGGTGGAGGCCTGAACAGATTCATGGCATTTCCATTGATTTCAATGGAGAAAGATGATTTGAGATACGGGGTGAGATGGAGCCCGGCAGACAGGCGAGTCACTCATTACCCCCCCCCC